CTGATCGAGGATGAAATTGCGACGCCGCTTCATGGCAATATCTTCAAGGGCTCCCAGGCTATTCAAGCATATCTCCAGCACCTTATCCCAACGGCCCTTGTGCACCGTCTTGCGAGAGGCGCCATCGATCTAAGCAGACAACGGAAAGGGATGAGCACTTGCCACCATTTGAGTGGGATCATAGTTGGTATGCCAACCACTTGTGAGACTTACCGTCATCTTTTCTATCATGGAATAGGGTCCGATGATCTCGTAACGCTTGTCAGCATTGTCTGCCACGTGCTTGAGGGTCCAGTGGGTCTTGCCGGCACCGGGCAGTCCGACTAGCAGAATGACCTCGCACTCCTTGCGCGAAGCGGCGCGTTGTGGTCCGGCAATCAGTTGCTCCACAGCCACCAGGCCAATCAGCACATAGCCCGACAACAGAGCGGCTGTATCGCGGGGCTCGGGCACCACTTCCTCGTACTCATCATCACGCGACTGTGACTTCTCCTTTTCTTTCTCAGCCTCCGTCTTTTCGGAGTCTTCTTCGGTCTTGATGCGCTTGTTGGGCGAGGGTCCATCATCATCCTCTTCCTCTTTGGCGGTCGAGGGTTTCTGTTCCTCAGCTGGTGCCTCCTCGCTTGCCTTCTCAGCATTGGCATCGCCATTCGAAACTGCTTCTGTCGGTTCAGAGGTTTCAGTGGCTGGCTCAGCTGTAAGTAAAATATTGTTGATCATATTTGGTTTTATCTCAGTTTGGGATGGAAGAAAAATAATGTCACGCACCTGTCTCCAAAGTTTCAGTAGCTTCTTGCTTTATTTCAGCATCTTCGGAGGTGACCTCGGCCTCTGCTTCTGCTTTAACCTCTACCTTTATTGCCGGTTCTTCCTCTTCGGATTTCACTGGCTTTTCAGAGTCCTCCTCATCGGCCTTTTCTGACGATGTCTTCGTGTCATCATCCTTCTTCTCGACCTCATCGTCGTCTGCGGTGGCTTCGTCCAGAACCTTCCACTTTCCGCCATCGTTATCATCTTTATCGTCGTCTTTGTCCTCTTCCTTGCAATGCTTACGGCGCTTGCGCGTTGGCCGCTCGGCGTTCACCAAAAGCTGCTCGCCATCCGAGAAGTTCACCGAGTACTCATAGCCCTTGGTCACTATGTGCGGAAAGAGAGCCTCCTCCTCGCCCAGGATGCTCTTTTCGAACTCATATGCCACTCCGAGGTCCTCTCCATTGAGGGTATATTTGATTGTGCACGGTTCACTCTCCAGATCCAGGTAGCAGCCAATGACGTCGTCCAGCTGGTAGGGCTTGCCGTAGTCTACGAACTTGCCCTCATTGGCCTTGCGTCCGGTCTCGCAGTAGCCAAAGGAATGTTCGGCTTCGCCCAAGAGCAGCGAAGTCGTCGGCTTTGAGAAGCCAACGCGAAAGCCGCGCACATGCGGCTCATCCCGGAAATTATGCAAATTTTCCGGCTGCGATTCCTCAGCGAGGCGCACCTCAAAGCAGACCTTACCCTCGCGCACTCCGTAGTTGGCGCGTGCTCCTGACCAAATCAGGGAATAAATCTCCGATGTCAGCGGCTTGGCCGTGGCAAATGTGTTCGGATCGATGCGAAGATGCAAATCGGAGTCCACTAAAAGGGAGATGCAATGACTGTCTGTACCCGGCATACTTCTCATTTTCGGAAAGAAAATACTTACGCCAGCTAAGTCCCACTTTGTTTTCCTCGATGGTCGGCTCATCCTCTGGCACCGTGCGCTCCTCGGCAACTGGCTTGGGCTCGCGCTTCTCACCGCCACTGTTGCGATGCTTGGGGGAGCGGGAGCCACTGCGGGAGCGCGAACGACTGTGCGAGCGTTTGCGACGCTCATTGGGCTGGTCTTCGGACTTTTCCTGTTCTTCGTCCGCCTTGGGGGAGGCAGGTGTCTCCTCCTCATCGACGTCCATTTTCTGGCTGTCGCCGTTTGACTGGGGCTCAGCTTTCTCAGCTGGCATCTCTGCAGTCTCCTCTGGGGTAGCCTGCTCTGCCTGGGGCGGCTGCTCTTCATCGTTGCCATCGTTGGCACCGATTTCGGCCTGCTCCATCGGCTCGTCAGCTTCTTGACCTGTTTCAGCAGTTTCTTCTGCTTCCTCTGTCTCTTCCTCAGGTTCATCGGCTTCTTGTGGCTTCTCCTCATCATTGGCTGCTTCGGACTCGACTGCGTCCTCTGCTTCCGGCTCAGCTGAATCGACCTCGGCCTCGAGATCCGACTCTGATTGCGGTTTGTCGGCAACTGCGGAGGCGGCTGATTCTCCTGGCTGGTCTTCCTCTTCCAGGGTTTCCAGCTCGGGCTCTGTGGCGACTGGTGCAGCTGCAACGGGAGAGGGAGAGCGGGACATTGAGCGCGTGCGACGCTGACGTCGGCTTGGTGTGACTGGTGCGCCATCTGGTGGCGGTGGCGGTAATGTGGTGGCGATGCAAAAGTGACAATTCAAAATGGAAATGGAAATGAAAATGCAATGTAAGATTCGTGCATTATATAAGGAAAACTTACAACAACACAAATTCACGCTGAGCCACAAGCACGCACACGAACAAAAACAGGAATATAACGCGGCAAGCCACTCACTCACACTGGCGTACAGACGGAGACACAGACACAACAATGCATACACACAAACTTACCTCCATCGCCGGCTCCACCACCTTCTACATGTGCCCGGAGTCGCTCGATGAGCACGGCTTTGACTCCTTTGGTGTCCAGACCGCGCGTTTGTAGCTCGTTGCGCAAGTCCACCACCTTCATTTTATCCAGCTTAGCCACATCCATTTTTACGCTTCCGTTTTGGATTGGCGGCAGAAACACACACACACTCGCGTGCACCAACACACCGACGGGGGCTGATGATGCGAAAAAATAAGGAAAAAATGCGAAAGAAAATTAAATGCGCTGTCGTTCAATGGGCGCACGCGTTCAAAATGTCCCCAGATTGAAGTATTGCTTTTCCTTGCACTCGTGCACACTAAATTAAATACACAATTCAGATTTACATTCGCATTAATTGCGAATAAATAAATGGCCTAAAACCGAACGCGTTGAAGTGAAGCTGGCTGCGATATGTAGGGTGGATGTTAAATATATATTGGTCAATATCGATATATATATCGCAATAGGTGATATTATGAACAATGAAGAAACTAGTTTCTTCATGTTCTGAACTGGCGAAAATATTAACAGTGGATATTTTTCGTTCATATATTGTTGAACTAGAAGAATATTGACGGATGTTTTAGCATTTATATATTTTTGATTTGAAATGCACACGCTACTAATGTTTCTACTTATCGACGCACAGGGATAGTTGCACAAAAATATCGGTAGTTTCGTGCGATATGCGCAACTACCTGGGCAGTTGCATGCATTTCTTTGTTTTGAAAATAACAAATATACGGCCAAAATATTTGTGTGTGATTGTTATTTCGTGGGTTTTCAAAATATAAGTTTTTGACTTTAATAATAACTCACTTAACTGAATACCGCCATTAGGATTCAGTCGACTCAAGTACTAGTCATTGTACCGCGTGTCCTGTCACACATTGCATTTTGGTGAATTTATCGAGAAAAACGCGGGAGACGGAACGGTATTTCTCACAAGCGAAGGCATCACCAACTAAAACTCTGAGCATGGACCTATTCCGTACCATGTGTTGGAATCAGCATTCCGCGACCTCTTATCGCCGTGCAAACTATGAGTCTGTCGCGTATTCGTCGAATCTGATTAGTTTTTGGAAAGTCGCCAACGAAAATGCCGGTTTTGCTGCGGGCTGTGTTTTTGCTGTACGCAGTCTCCATAGCCCCAAATGTTTGGGCCGAACTGTGCGATAATGGCACCGGTGAGTGCAGAAATTTGACAGCTACGGACTGCCCGACAGTCTTCTACAACTTGGCCGCCATTGGACCCGGTGCCCTCAAGTACTGCGATGAGTTTATCGTTTGCTGTCCCTTGCCACTGGATAGGCAAATCCAGAACCAGAATTCGAATAAGGACGAAAGCAGCAGAAGATTCGAAAAGGGTGAGTATGGATGGACTTCGGCTACACTTTACCGATAAACATTCAATAAATCTAATTTTTCAACAGAATGTCGTCGCTTCAATGAGATGAGGTCTTCCTGCCACACCACTCCTTTCATTGTGGGTGGCACTAAGGCCGCTGGCCGTGAGTTTCCCTTCATGGCCCTGCTCGGGCAACGCCAGAGGGAAAGTACGAACATCGACTGGGATTGCGGCGGGTCTTTGATCCATCCCAAGTTCATTCTAACCGCCGCCCATTGCCTGGAGACAAACGAGTGAGTGGCTTCAGAGATATGTTGCTCTGGTGATCTGCGGCTCACCTTTAACTGTTTTGCAGAAAGAAGGAGGAGCGCCTGGATCCCAATTTCGATTCACCGAAGTATGTTGTGCGGCTGGGGGAACTTGACTACAACAACGAGACGGACGATGCCCAGTCTCAGGACTTCCGGGTGGTCAATTATGTAGTGCATCCCGCCTACGATGAGGAGGATAACGGCAGCCGCAAGAACGACATTGCCCTCGTGGAGCTGGATAGGGCGGCAGTCTTTAATGAGTATGTGGCGCCTGTCTGCCTACCTCCGGCCAGCGGCAACGAGCATCTCCAGCTAACGGCCACAGGCTGGGGAGCCATCAAGGAGGGTGGACGTTCCTCCTCGCACCTGCTCAAGGTGAACCTAGAGCGCTTCAGCGTGGAGCAGTGCAGCCAGCGACTGGATCACCATATCGACATACGCACCCAGCTGTGCGCCGGCTCCCGGTCGAGCAATGCCGACACCTGCTACGGCGACTCTGGCGGGCCCGTATTCGTGCAGCATTCGTCATACGCGTGCCTCAAGCAGGTCATAGGCATCACCTCGTACGGGCTGGTGTGCGGCGAGCAGGGACTGCCCAGCGTCTACACAAAGGTGCATCTCTACACGGACTGGATCGAGAGCATTGTGTGGGGCGAGTAGGATCAGGCGGTTCGTATCAAAATCAGTTTTGTTAGCTTTAATCATAAAACATTGCAGTAACAAAAATGCATAACAATTGTATCGGGTCTTAATCTACGAGGATGGTGGGTGTGTTGGTGGTGGTATAGGTGTGGTGTGGTGGTGGTGGTGCGAATGGTGTTTACTATAAGTACTCTATATATATGGATGATTGCTCCTCCGCTCATCGTGCTGCAGTGCTGTGTGCTGTGTGCTTTGTGCTGGACTTTGTTTAACGCTAAGGACACAATAGAGGCTAAGTGCTAGAGGACCCTGTAGTAGACCAATGGACATGGCATATCCTTGGTTGGTGGCTTGCTGGCTAGCCCAATGGTTTGCCTACCACAGACGGACGGTGCGGTGTGCCTGCTGGTCAATGCGTCGCTCTGCCTGCCTGTCCTTGATCTCCTGTTTCCGGATCTCCTGCTGCTTATACACGAACAGTGGCCGGAAAACGATTGCACGACGCTGGCGCTCCTGCCTGTGGCTCTGGCTGGGTGCATCGCGACGTGGACGTCCCGAATATGGGCGGAACAGATTCGACTTGGCCGTGTCGTGGGCATACAGTGTGCTCAGGAAGTCAAAGTATGGCTTGGAGCGCAGGCTGTCTGGCTGCTGAAGCGGCGAGGGACTGTAGCTGAACTGATTGGGTGTCTCGATGTCCAGCAGCGCGTGTGGCACCTCCTGCAGCTGCGGCCGGGCGGTGCACAGAGCCATTGCCGCGAGCAGGATCACAGCTGAAGCCTGCGGAAGAGGAAAGGTAGAGGAAAAGTTAGTTCAGTCTCTCGTGGGAAGGTGTGAACAGCACTTGGAGGCCAAACAGAACAAAGCGGTGCCAGTGGTTTCGGCATTGCCAAGTAGAACCTGTCTACCCCTGCCCGGACAGGCCCAGACAGGGCTCTGATCTGCGAGCTTATGCTGTGAATTAGCATACAATAATTAATTTAAATTAACCCAACAGCTGGAGATGGAGATGGAGATGGAGGCGGGGGACAGGGACGGACCCACTATATCAATGCTATAACCGCAATCAAATTTAATTTATGGTCGCACCTAAAGATATTCATGAGCACGCCTCGAATTCGGTAGGCGTCATCGAGCATGTTCCGATGGGAGGAATACACTACACGATGGCACCACAATTAAATTCCCATTCAAATCCATGCGAATCCAGGCGCCAGTTGTTCCATAACCGGATCCCAATCGATACACGATTCGTTTTCTCATAATGAGATTCAAAGATTTGATGAATCGCTGTGATTTCCAGGAATCTTCTATGATTCATGAATGATAGTTTTGTTTTGGTTGCAGATTTGAAGGAGATTGGATTATGTAAAACAGAAGACTTTATCCGTGGACCACAGACCACAGAGCCAAAGCAAATTAATTTTAATCAAGCAAAAGGCAAAGGAGAAAACCGATTTAAAATGGATTTCTGTGCTGTAACCGGTTGAGGGTTTTTTTGTGGTTTTTGTGGCCCAGGGTTAACAATTTCGTCAAGTAAAACCAAATCAAGGCAATCATCCAACAGGATTTGCCAACTCTGCAGGGACAAGTGCTGATACAAAAAAAAAAAAAAAACCTGCCCATAAAGTGCTCTTTTATGGCACTTCCTCATGAAGATCATCCAAGAAGACAGCATAAGGAATAGAATAACTTGATTTAATAATGCTTTTGGCCTTGTCCGGCGTCTAAATAATCAGAGTACATTAGCTGTCCGTTAGCACCATGAGCTTATCTTATAGATATTTATATATACCTATATGTATGTATTTGGCAGCTTTAATTTCTTGATTGAGTTTGTTGAAAATGTTAATCGCTCAAACACGTTTCTTTGTTTCTTTTGTTTTCATACATTTCTGATCTTTAAGCCGAACCAATCCACTATGATACTCACTTGCCAAGTGTATGCAAACATCTTAAGGTTCCGTTTAACTCTAATGTTAATGATGATTTTTCAGGCTCTGCTTCTCGATCACTTCGCACTTGTTTTGTTCAATTTCAATTCGGTTTTCACACGCGAAGAGTACACAAATTCCTTGGCAGATTATAGATTGATCTGATGATGATGTCTTTATTGCTTTTTGTTATCAGTTGCCGCTTAGCACCTTGATTTGTTATATGTTTTCGTGTGTTTCTTTTACTCGTATTCTCGTTGTGTTGTGCGATGCGATCTGAACGCTGCTGAGCGTGCGCTTGAACTGTTCTGAATTTTTGTCACAAATTCACTTTTATACGGACCTGGCCGCTGGTATCCCCTCTGGGCTCTGACTCTGCTTCAGCTTCGTGACGTTTTTGTATGCTGAACGGGTTTTGGGTTTTGATTTTTTGGTTTCCACTCCACTCCACTTCACTGTCACTTGGCGCTTTCGATGCTAAGTGTTACCGATATCGCGGTGTATTCCACACGGTGCGCAATGGCAAGAGGCGGAGGAGCAACGTCTTAAGCCAAATTGTCAAATTGTTGGCTCTGGTCTGCACTTGGCACTTGGCTTGATTGGCTGCTGGTCACGTAATTAGCGCCCAAATGCAGCTCCTTCACTGTCATAGACAAAGCGGATGGCTCCAAACAGGATTCGGAACTGGCGTAATATGCGTCACATCAAATATTTATCATTTTGCATTTAGCACTACGATTTTGATTTTTTGATTTTATTTAAACTTTTTCCATGACGCACTTATTAATCAAAGTCACTAATCCGCACAGTGATTCGAGATAAATCTTTTACGCACCGGATGGAATCTCTGGATTGGAGGAGAACTGGAGATTTCGCTGAGACTGGAGTCGAGTGATGGGGTGATGGAGCGAGGCAACACGGAAGCCGGCAGACAGGCGCACACTGGCGGACAGTCGTAAAGCTGAACGTTTAATTGTCGTCGCATAGCGCCGAGTGAGATATTTGTATCTGCTAAGCCGAATCGGAACCAATTTGTGGATAATTATGTGTGCGAGCTGCTTAAGTTATGCAAATCTCCGTTTGATGACGCATTAAACTCCAGCTTCAGTTTCAGCTTCAGCATCGGCTTAGGCTTTGGATTCGGTTTTGGATGCGAGCTTGGAAAATTGTCAACAGACCCAAGCCGGGGCACTCGAACCGAGTTGGAGGCACTTGAAAAATTGACTTTCATGCTTGAAGAGACTGAAGGTCGAGTGGGTCTTGAAATGGTAATGAGCTCCGCTTCAGTGAGCTTGCCTGGGTGAGGAGCCCATGTCGATGCCGTTGCCGATGCTGATGCTGGAGACAAAGAGCGCTGCTTATTGGAGGAGCTTTCGGGTTAATCTCATCCCGCCCTCACCCCACACGTGATTAGAACCCGATCAAGAATCAAGAAACCATATACGCTTATGCTTTGAAACACGATTGGCAAGACAAGACCAGGCATGGCAAGGCAAGTCTTGGCCGCCCGTGTCAATGGCCAACCGGTTGGGGGCCGCCGCAGGCCAAAATAAACCAAATGGCAACTGATTTATACAGTTGAATAGCATTTAGCGAAATTGCCCATCAACACCATCCCATCCCATCCATCCATCCATACAGAGAGAATCCAGCCCGGATCCACCTTTCTTTTATTTTCCTATCCTCTTCGTTTGTTTGTCGCTTCGCCTCTTCGTTATTTTGGATATTTTTAGACGTGGAGCACAGAGATCTCTGCCTGGCACAGCAAATTTCATTTCATTTCATTTAGTTTAATTAGTTTTTTGGCCGAAAGCCGGTTTGGAACGCAATAAGACAAATGGCTGGCGATAAGCGGACCCCAGAGGCCGACGCAGACGTCAACAAATGTCAGAGAGTGAAAAACAAAATAAAATTGTACTCGTCTTATCAATAGACAGACATTTGCATGCTTTCGGTATTATTTGGTTCCAGCCTGATCGCTCATATGTAACCTGGCATCCCATAACCATGTGATTCATTGGAATCCCATGTTGAATTACTCGAAAATGCACTCGTTCTAATTGAGACAGCAATGTCGGTTCAACATTGACAGCTTCCGTGGAGGAGTGGGAATCAGAGTCCGAGTCAGAGTCGTCAATGTGCTAATCACCTTTGACTGAGATGCGCTTTCCGCGGGACATTGATTCATGATTTGATTGATTCATGCTCGCGACAGGCACGATCCCAAGCGAAAGGTGAGAAAGGGGCACGTTTTCATTTCACCAGGCCTCAACAGAGTGGAGGGAGCACTTCTCACTTTGGACTATGTACGTCATCGGTGGATATAGGTGGACCAATTATCACTTGGTTCGTCACACGCCTGATCAGATGCCTGTTGGTGTTTTCCTCGATTAATGCTTAATTTGATTTGATTCGGCCAAAAACCATCATGGAAATTTTGACATATCTAATTGGTAAACGGATGCTATTAAGTGTGTTAAATATGATGTTATGCATCTCACGGGATCAATTAAATTCCATTCACGTTTCGACACAGTATTTTGTCAGCTTTTCTTTTAAAATCACTTCAAATTTCGCGCCGCACGATAATTTGCAGATTGTTTGTGGCGCCCCCTATGTAGCTGAGCCTTTTTTTTCAATATTTGACCAGCCTATCAGCTTGTAAACGCTTTGCAGGTTGTATGGCCCCTATCGGATTGTATCACAAAATAAATATGGATAGGTCAAGTTCTCAAGTTTTGTCTTTTTGCTCGAATGAACAATCTCGAAGGTCGATGCTATCGATGGTTAATAATAATTAATGGAAGTAGGGCATATAAACGCAGCAACTACATACCGGTTAACAAGCAACATATTATCAAATGACGTTGCACTCCGTTCCCAAGAAAATGACGTCGTGAAAACACGCCAAACTTGTGGAGAATTGATTGATTAATCGGATAAAATTATAGTGTTAGAGCGGAGACTCCTAACTAGCTAGCAATATCAAACAGAACATAAAAATCGAGGAAAATAATTAAAGGTTTACAATATATTTACAGTATTTTGAAAGTTTTAATCGATAATTCCGCGGTAACACTGACGGCAATACGCAACTAGGGTTGACAAATATCAGATATAAAAATTATATAAAATATATCACAGCAAAAATATCGATATATTGATATTTTGATACATTATTGACAACCCTATACTCAACACGTGTTTTCAACCTTCTTCCATTTTCCTCAGCGCCGCGTGCACATTGCAAACATTGCGCGTTGAGTTATAATAAATTAAATAAAAATGGCCGATGCTGGTGAGTAGCAAAGTGATAACTAAAGAAAGTGCTGAGATTACAAGACGCATCGGTGCGCATCATTGCAGACGTACGAAAAGAGAAGCGAAAGAAGAAGATCAAGGAAGAGCCAGTCGATGCCGACGACATTGGCACGCTACAAAAGCAGGGTAATTTTCAAATAAAACCCTCGTCGAAGATAGCCGAGCTAGACACATCGCAATGGCCGCTGCTTCTGAAGAACTTCGACAAACTAAATATTCGGTCAAATCACTACACGCCACTGGCACATGGCTCGTCGCCCCTCAACCGCGACATCAAAGAGTACATGAAGACGGGTTTCATCAATCTTGACAAACCTTCCAATCCCAGTTCCCACGAGGTGGTGGCCTGGATTAAGAAGATTCTCAAGGTAGAAAAGACGGGACATTCGGGCACTTTGGATCCGAAGGTTACAGGTAAGACATGCGCATGGGCCTCAACATAACCTCAAAATACCAACGCACGTGTATTGTGCTCGGCAGGTTGCCTGATTGTCTGTATCGACCGCGCCACGCGTCTGGTCAAGTCGCAGCAGAGTGCCGGCAAGGAGTATGTGGCTATTTTCAAGCTTCATGGTGCCGTTGAATCGGTGGCCAAAGTTCGTCAAGGCTTGGAGAAGCTGCGCGGTGCTCTTTTCCAGCGTCCCCCGCTAATCTCGGCCGTCAAGCGTCAGCTCCGAGTGCGTACAGTGTACGACAGCAAATTGTTGGACTACGACGAGAGTCGCAATATGGGTAAGTTTCCGTTTTCTATTTAATTTCATTCGAAGCTTGTGCGTCGCTGCTTGAATGAATCTGTATGGCAGGGACGTACTGGACGCTTCGGCTAGTACAGTAAAATCCCAGTATTTGCCCCAATATGCAAATGCACAGTTATTAGTTAAAACATCTCTGTATCTTCTCTCCCCGTCCCCAACGTCCCAACTCCACACCACTTGCCATGTCTGCCCTACTCACGTTTAGGTGTTTTTTGGGTTAGTTGCGAGGCCGGCTCTTACATCCGAACGATGTGCGTCCATCTGGGTCTAGTCCTGGGCGTCGGTGGTCAAATGTTGGAACTGCGTCGAGTGCGTTCAGGCATTCAGTCGGAAGGCGACGGCATGGTAACCATGCATGACGTCCTCGATGCCATGTGGCTGTACGAGAACCACAAGGACGAGACCATGCTGCGTCGTGTGATAAAACCGTTGGAGGGTCTGCTCATCAACCACAAGCGTATCATCATGAAGGACAGTTCGGTAAGTGTTCAAAGTGCTCTCTACACCTGATTCCGACCCCATGATATTAAGCCGGCAGACGCCCGTAATCCCCATAAGCGTCTGTGACTTTGATTGGGAACAGTAAATGTGCTGATGTGTGTATATTGGGCAGCGCTTCTTCCTGCGCACTTGATAAAGAAATTTCAGACGACATTTCCAAAACCGAACAAAGTCAAAATCAAGTTCGGCAACCAACTTTCACTTCTTTATGCTGACTCTCGACTCTTATCTTAGGTAAATGCTGTGTGCTATGGCGCTAAGATTATGTTGCCTGGTGTTCTGCGCTATGAGGATGGCATTGAGATCGATCAGGAAATTGTCATATGCACGACGAAGGGTGAGGCTGTTTGTCTGGCCATTGCTCTGATGACCACGGCCACCATGTCGTCGTGTGATCATGGTGTTGTGGCCAAGATTAAGCGTGTGATAATGGAGCGCGACACATATCCACGCAAGTGGGGATTGGGTCCCAAGGCTTCCGCGAAGAAGGCGCTCATCGCTGCCGGCAAGCTGGACAAGTTTGGCAGGCCCAATGAGAACACACCTAAAGAGTGGCTGACCGGCTTTGTCGACTACAACTCCAAGAAGCCAGCGGCGGCAGTAGCCCCACAGACACCAGTCAAAGGCACCCCCTCCAATGGCTCGGACGAACCGTCCAAGGTGAGGATTATATAGTACTTGCTATGTTGTAATTTTTCTCACTTATTAAGTACTTTTTACAGCGTAAACTGAGCACCTCCAGTGTCGAGGAGACGGCACCGGCCACCGGAGCTGAAGATTCTTCTGCCAAATCTGACAAAAAGAAGAAGAAGAAGAAGCACAAGGGCGAGGAAGAGGCTCCAGAGGAGCAAGAGGCAGCGGCTGATGTTGAGCCAGTAGAAAAGGAGAAGAAAAAGAAGAAGAAGAAGGATAAGGATAGGGAAAAAGAAGAATAGGATGTTATGTTCCTATAGGATTAGGTTTTCTCCAGATCTCTACGATTTTTTGTAGAGCTCTAACTATTATTTTCAACAAATTTTCCTAGTGTTTAAGCTTAAAGATGAGTCTATCAATATAAAAAAAGTGTTTTTATGTATAGAAATTCAAGCCAATTTCGAATGCATTTAGTTGACATTCGCAATGCAATAAATTTTATATATTTTATTGTACAAACCCCAGATAAAGCCGATATATGCACCATGTGCATCAATTGTTCAGGTTTTTTTTAGCATTTCAGTGAGCAGCCACTCATCAAATCCAAGTAAAGGTAAGTTCCATTTTGTCGCTATAAAAAGTTCTATCAAATTCTGTTTTTGCTGCTGTCTAATGATGAGCATTAAACTTTCGCCCCTATCTGAAAAATGAAACTTCTCATGTTGAATGCGAGATTGGTCTTACTGAAAGAATAAGCAAGCAAGCATATTTGATAGTTCCTTTACAGTTCATTTATACCAATTCCGACACAAATATATTTATGATGGACACTTTTCACATATTTTCAGCTTGGGAAATCAGTAGCCTAACCGGAATCAGAATGTCAGCTAAACCATAAGGTGAGTGTCGCTAGTGATTTCAACTTTCAACTTTGATAACTATTCCTGTGATGAGCATTAAACTTTCGCCCCTATCTGAAAATGAAACTTCTCCTGTTGAACGCGAAATTGGTCTTACTGACAATTTGTGTATCAATATTTCAAAAATGTCGCAAAAAAAAGAAAACTAACAAATTATCTCTCTTGCAGGCTCTCTAGGCAGTCGTCGGAAAGAGCTTAATGGATGGAGCTGGCATATTTGGGCCCCAAGAGAAGGTGAGACAAATAATATGTTGTATGCTACGGCATAAATTTCATATGATGAGCATTAAACTTTCGCCCCTATCTGAAAAACGAAACTTCTCCTGTTGAATGCGAGATTGGTCTTACTGAAAACTTACTTTGCAAAATAATAGAGAAAATATTTAAGGATTCTATATTAAACTTTTTGTATTTTTCTTCCAGAGTTCTACCTGTCTTTGTTACGTGCTGACTGACCCATCAACGCAGCTAAATGGTGAATATATAGAAATTTAAACGCCACTATTCCTTTCTGATGAGCATTAAACTTTCGCCCCTATCTGAAAAACGAAACTTCTCCTGTTGAATGCGAGATTGGTCTTACTGAAATATACGCTCCCAAAACACTAGACGAAATATTACAGAATTATGTACTAAACACTATTATCTTTTTTGCAGATTTCATTTTTTCAGTGGTTGAAAACGCAGATCAGTACTCAGACAAAAGGTAAACATACAAATATTTAAAAGTCCACTCTCGTTTCTTTCTGATGAGCATTAAACTTTCGCCCCTATCTGAAATACGAAACTTCTCTTGTTGAATGCGAGATTGGTCTTACTGAATTAAAATTGTATTAAATAGTTGAACATTGATATATTGTGAAATCGACTAAAGTTTTTCTTCGTTATCTCTTGCAGCTCAATTGCGGATTGTCTACTTTGCTTAAGGTAAATATTCATATAAATAGTCACTTCTAGTTCTCTTATAAATGATGATAACAAAAGGCTGATTAATGTGGCATGATTTTCACATAACCGCAACACAAAATCCAATAGGTCCTACTGAACATAAAACCTTCATGATATGAGATTAACATTATCTTGAGAAATAACTAACTGTCAACGCTTTGTCTTCATTTGCAGTGCTTTCCGCCGCCTTCCTCCCCCCCGTTGAAACGTGGTCTCAACTAACAACAGGTTTGTTTCATTTGCAAATTGCAAATCATTTGGATAGAGACACTTCTTCATGTCTGTATATTATTATAAAATTAACTAAATATAAATATAAAATAAAGCATCCAACAAATCCTCGTTTTATTCTACTTAACCTCAAAAACGGAGAAGATTTCTCTGTGCAGCCTTTTGTGACAGGGTTGCTACGAAAAAGCGCAAGAAGAAGCAAGTACAGGCGTGCACAACACTGTTAGGCCTTGTTGGCGCGCGAACGACGTCCTCGCTTTTACTTAATGACGCCTTCAAAAGACCGACAAAACCTTACCCAATGCGAGGTTACTTTAAAATGTTTATGCACATTTGCTGTAAAATGAAAATATCAAATGAATGCAAAATATCTATATTATGCAACCCTGCGTTTCATTCCACATGTTGCACACTTTGGTCCCCTTGGCGGGTAGATATCGGTCTCCATATTGAAATTATCGAGCCGTCTTTGTATACGTGGTGTGTGGCGCATCTGTGTGGCACGCATCGTGTATGTATTCGTTGGCTTTTTTCAACGTGAGCAACGAGAGCTGGCTGTTGGTTAATCGTGAAAATAGCTTGTAAAATAGTCAAAACTGCACGGATTTGTGATTGTTTTGGAACTTGCAAGGTGCGGATAGCCAATTTTAGTACAGGTAAGTGATTTGAAAGCAATTAGTTTTGCGAAAGGACCTTTATGTCATTCGAATTTTTTCTGCGTGTCCGCCCTGATTAGGGTGCTTTGCGTGACGCATGTGATCGGTTGTGTATGTATCTGCTTGCGACCAGGGACGCCATGTTGGAATATTTTGAGGTTATTTTCAGTAATTGACGCACTTTTCAGAAAACGCAGCGTCATTCGACCTTTGCAAAGTGAAATATAAACATACATAGGATTTAAATACAGTTGCACATGGTTGCATTTTGTTGTGGTGATATAAAAATTGAATGCACTTAATTGTAGCTTTGATCGCGATGACAAAATTAGGGCAGGGCAAAAACTAACTACCTGAACACGGAATTTTCCACGCTCTAGCGCCGATTTTCAGTGTTGCAAAAGTAAGGACTTTCTTCGTCTCCAGTTCCTTTTGAATTTCTTTTTTGTTTACATAATTCACCGTTCAGCAGTGCACGCGTTCACAATCGTACACATGTAATACATGTTGACATGTATCTAGGTCCCTCCCCGCACCCCGTCCCACCAGCACTCGCTTCAGTCGGTGTACCATTGCCATGCATTCCATAGGAACGGCTGGAACCGAAAGTGCCCAATATTCACGCACACATCACACACACATCTGATAGCGGCAGCGTCACTCGGTTGGAATCAATGTTTGTTTGTGATCGCGAATTCGCACGCGCTTCTGCATTATACATCTTTTGAAAACAATATTTTCATTTACTGATAAAAGCAATTTTGTGTGCACATGCGCAATGTCATTGCGCAATTGTTTATAGTAGCGTCAGTGCTGAAAACAAATCAAAGTGTAAAATGAACTGCTGAAACCTGCATTTGGTGCTGGCTCTTGTCGCCTGCCTGCTTGTGTGTGCGTGCGTGTTTGTGTGCACTGCTGCGACTGGGAAAAAGGCGCAAAACCAAAGGCAACAATAACATCGTTGGTTGTCATTTACCGTTTCTGTGATATTTGAAGTGTTTCAAAAAGTGCGTAGTAATTTATTTATTGAGTTTAATAAGTAGGAACTTGTAAATAGGAAACTGCATGTTCTTGAGAATGTATATACGTAAACATATGTGAATATATCGCGTGAAATGAATGCCGGGGAGTACGGTTTATTCCGTGAGTGATTGAATGTATGTGTAAAACGGTGCTGCCAACCTAATTTGCTAAATTCATGCTGCAAATTCAGCCGCACGTGGCTAGGAGACTTTCTTTGTCAAAAAGTAAATTAATTCGTGCGGGCTGGAAGATTTGATATACACCAGCCGGGTCTGGCCTACAACCAATTCAAGCCTCGCAAGAAGACGGCCACGCCACCGTGTAAATGCAAATGTAAAATAAGATTCTGAATGGCGCTGCCATCTCCTTTAAAAGTGACAGGTCCTTCGACACGTGGATCGGTGAATCGCAAAAGCGCTGCCCATGATATAGCAATCCATTCCTAGAACTGGGGCGCGACACACTAGATCTAGTGAAAACTTGTTATTTTCCTGGGGCTAACGACATTTTTGCTTGTAAATATTTGACAGCATGTCTAGCAGCAGCGAACTGCCTCCAATAATATTACAAGGAAAACAATTGATAAAATTTCGCCATCTCAAGCGGAAATATCCGGTGTCCAGGGAATTTCTACACCGCAACTGGTGGAACGTGAAGCGCTTCATCCTCTATGCCCTGACACCGCGCTGTGTCTTGCGGAACTACGCCTGGCGCAGGCGACGCAACAACCGCGTGACCATCCGGAAACGCGTTCGACTTTGCCTCTTCGATCCGCGCCTCAAGCGGATGATAAAGAGGCGCAAGCAAAACATCAAAAAATGGTCGGTTAGCATCGTGAATCATCACAAGAAAATGGGACACATCGATGAGTACGAGGAGACGGAGTTATACAACGTTGCAGAGCCGCTGCCAGCAGCGGAGCTGTCCAAGCAGATGAAGCAACAGCTAGAGCTCCTCAAGACAGGCAAACGGAATCTCTGCCTCATCGAAGAATCCAACAAAAATGTCGAAATTCTCGATGCCAAAGCCTACGAGGCAGTCAAAGAGATCAGTGTCGGGGATGATGTAAAAACTGGATCTCAAGCCGAACGACTCGGTAAAGACAATGGTCAGAGCGAATGCGTTGATCCAATGGACATTACCCCCTCAAAGGAGACAGAAGAGAAGACGCCCACAAAGTCAACCGAATCAATGTTTGCTGACCAGGAAGATACACCCACGCCAGCCACTCCCAGCAAAGAGAATACCAGCCAGACCAGTGCTTGCTCCAGTGCCGAAAAAGTTGAGAAAACCGAGAAATCCGGTGGCAGCAAGTTCCTGGACATGCTGATGAATAAGGTGCGTGTTAAGCCCTTCGCACGGGAATCGAATTTACCCATTGAAGCCTGCCCAACACCTGCGTATACAGCCGAAGAGGACGGCAGCGGCGATTTTGTTGGCTTCGATGAGAGCGTTCATCAGCCGGGAATGCTGCTCACTCCCATAGTGCCGCAGAGCTGCAAGACTCTCGAGGGGAACTCGGCCTTTGTCAGCGAATCTCTCGATGCGTACATGCGCGAGCATCACATCAACGATGACAAGGAGAAGCTCCTCGAGCCCATGGGCCACGACGGTCAGGTCACCTCTCACAGTCTGCCGCCGCCCATGGATATGCCAGCTGTGCCCGAGGCCCTGCAGCGGCTACGCACGGTGGCCGAGCGTCGTTCGTACCTGCAGCGCTCCAAGAACCAAAAGATGGCCATCATTAACAACGAGGCGAATATCTACAGGGAGCTGCAGCGCAAGCAGCGCCAGCGCAAGGTCAAGATTGGTGCCATGCAGCTACTGCAGGCCTCCACCACGCAGATGTCCTTTACCCGCCAGGGCTGGCAGGCGGCCAGCTATGTGGCCACCGAAATGTCCAAGTATTATTATCAGGTGAGTGTGTGATGGCGTAAAATCCAAACTGTCGGCAATCCACTGACTAGGGAATCTATTATAACAGGTGATCCAGGTGGACGGAGAGAGAGTTCGCCTGCCCGGTGCCCAAGGCAACAATCTGCAGCGTGAGAAGCTTCCATACCGGAGCAAACTGACGCCCCAAGAGGCAACCAGAGTTCGGTGCACTGACCTGTGCCTGGATGCATCGATTCATCCCAAGCTGAATATTATGCCAAGCACAACGACGAGTGTCATGAATCCCAAGCGCCTCAATCAGTTTCCATTATCCGCCATCTTTCCACCCTGCCCGCTGTCGATGAAACCGCTGCAGAAGCCATTGGATGACGACACGGCCGCTCTACTGCTAGCCGGCGGCAGCATGGCGGTGGTCAGCATGCCCACCGTACAGCTCGAAGTGATGCCGCAGCTGGGCAGGCCACTCGATGAGATTGCGAAGCGATATCTGCAGCACATTCTTCCCCATCATGACATCACCAGAGAGTGGGCCGAGTTTAGTGTGTCGACCCTGCAGCAGCAGCCGCGCGTTTGCATGAGGGAGGCCGAGGAGCAGGCTTCCCAGACGCCAGCTGGCCGACGCAAGAGCTTCACCTTTGTCATTCCATATATAAACGATCGCAATCACATTTTGGTGCGTCGCGTCGTGGATCGGTCGGAGCAAATGGATCCCAACTTCTACCAGGAGCCACACAAGCTGCAGGAGTTCGATTTCCGCAAAGCTCTGCCCGAGGAGCCCGACGCCGATCTGCTGGACTGTGCGGACATGATCAATGACATGATCAACACGGTGGCCATCAGCTGCAGCGAGAACAGCTTTATCAAAGAGGACACTCGGACAATGTACGATCTGGCAGCGCCCAGCAGCCCGCCGAAGCCAGCCGCCGAGTTGAGTGCCGTCAAAGAGGAGGATGACAAGGCCTTGGGCAAGTGGAAGCGTCGTCCCACCAAGCAGAAGCGTTTGGCCAATGAGTTGCGACGCCTCAATGCCACAATCATAGATGCGGCCGCCAGGAATGCGGATGGTATGTTCCACCAGCACATACCACCTGTATAATCAGACTTTTAATTTTTCTTAAATTCTCTTCGTTGCAGCCAAAAAGCCGTGCATTAAGGATCACTGCCAGCTGGGGTGCGTATGCGCCAGTCTGAGTGGAGCAGAGCTGCCATTGCGGGACCATTGCGGACGCGCCGACTGTGTCATCGAGTGCCATTGCCTGGGTGGCGAACAGGCGCGTGTGATGCGCGTACAAACGGCCGATGTAAGCACGCTTTGGCAGGGATGCAGCCCTTGGCCCAGACTTGATCGTTTTGTGTTATTTTAGGGGCGAAGCATCTCCAATGAGGATGCATTCAACTTGCGACGCAAGGCCACGGCACGACTGGCCAAAATGGAAAAGGATTTCACCTCCACACTGGTGCTGACGGACAACGAGACGCTGCTGATAAACGAGTCGCAGGGCGATAAGAAGCGACGCTGCACCAAGGCCCCCAAGCGCTATGAAGACTTTGACGACTCGAACATGTTTGACGACGACGAACTGGTCTCCCCATCCCGCGCCACATTGAAGCGGAATGCTGCGGCTGCGGCTGCAACGGCGGCAGCTGCTGCTGCAGCAGCTTCGGCGCTGGCTGCTGCCAATGCGAAGAGTGCTGCTGCCGCGCTCAGCAAGAGCTGCAAGGTGAGGGACACGGATCTGGCCCAGCTGAAGCACTGCACTGTATCGATACGTCGCCTGCCCGACATGGGCAACCTTGCCACCTTCTGCATGACCCATCAGCTGTACAAGTGCTTCTGTGGCGGCGAGTCCATCGAGGGCAAGCCCGTGATCATCGAGAAGGAGCAGTGGAACACGACCGTGTCGCATTTCAACCCAGAGTTGGCCACCCGTGCTCACTATAGCTTCGAGCGGCCGCCAGAGGAGCCGCCCAAGAAGAGGGGCAGAAAGAAGGAGGTGAAGAAAGACGAGTTTGAGGCAGCTGAAAAGGAGGTGGCGGAGCAGCTGTCGGTGGCGGAGTCGTTGCCGTTGCCGTTGCCGCCTCAGCCGAAACTCGAAGGGATGCTGGTTTCGCGACCCAAAGCTCCTCCGATGAAGTCCCCCAAGAATGTGCGCAAAGAGGAGGAGGAGAGTGCGCCGAAGCCGGTCGCACCATCCACCACTGCCGCCACTCCGCATGAGCGCAGCGTTGAGCTGGACAACATTTACTCGTACTACATTTCGCGTCCGTATCTCTGTCGGCGTGCCGTCTCCGTGCCCAGACGCTCCTACACGCGGCGGAATCGCTGCCGCGTAAAAAGCACGCTTGACTTCATTGCCGCGACGGAGACACTCGAGATGAAGGAGCTGCTTAGACGGCGCATCGACGGCGCAGTTTTCTTCTATCGCAAGGAGTTGGATAGGCAGAGAAATCGTCAGCTGTTGCTACAGGCTGAGACGCAGGGCGAGACTGCTCCGGTCATAATTGTGCGTGATGACTCGGATGAGAACGAGCAGACTGGCAGTCGGAAGCGGAATGTGCCGTCGAGCCGGCAGGAGGTGCAACCTGTGCCCCCCAGCAAGCGCACCAAACTGCAGGCGGACAGGGCTGCCGGCGATGGGAACCTTCAATTGGATATACAGGTGCCACGCATTGCCGCCTGCTACTCGCTGAATACCGCCTCTGTGGATGTGCTGGGATCTGGCCTGAATACAGCGGCGGCTGCTGCTGCGGCCGCTAGCGGGGTGGGGCCCAGCTCCACCGAAGCGGACTCGCCCAACTTCCGCTCCTTCTACAACGAGGTGGTAAAGAACATGAACACGCTGGTCAGCAAGAAGATGCAGGACATTGATTTGGCCCTGCAGCGCGAAAGCAAAATCATTCCAGCGCCAAACGAGGAGATTCTCTGCATCATCAAGTGGACCAACTTCCTGGCCGCCTACGAATGCAACTACGTTTACATTTGGATTGTACAAATGAAGCAGTATACCTTCCTGGCGGCCACCACCACCAATCTGATGCCCACTGTGTGCGGTGCCATTGCCATTGGCGACACCAGATTCGCATCGTCCACAGCCGAGACCCCCATGATGGCGCGCATGTTGATGGAGAGCAAGCGCAATGAGCACACCAGCCGACTGGCCGTTGTTATGCAGGGCAGGCAGAGCTATTGGCTGGTCAAGGGCTTTCTGCGTCACATGCAGGGCAGCGCCTGCACCAAGCCCACGCCACAGACGCATCCACTGCTCACCAAGAAGATAAACGTGCTCTGCTCGCTGCTGGTGAAGCAGCGCATTCGCGAGCACCAAAAGAAAGAGGCTACCACCGATGCTCGCCCAACGGCAAGCACAAAGGTTGTGCCAGATAAAGAGCCTGCAACCGCAACTGAAAAAGCATCTACATCTGCGTCTGCGTCTGCATCTGCATCCGAATCTGTGACTGCACCAGAAGAGGATTATGTGCAGGAGCCAGCGAGACCAGCTTCCTCGAATCAGGCGCTGACAAAGGCAAACGCTTCCAACATCCGCTCGAACATCGAATTCCGTAAGCTGACGCGAAGCGATGTGGATGAACTGGATATACCCGATAGCTACCAGGGTGACCATCGTTGGGTGGTGCTCGATCTTGTCGATGATTTCTCTCACATCTTTGTGCCCGCCTTCGGGGAGATGATATCGCTGGACAGGATACACAAGGTGATGCGGGTGGCGCGTGAAAAGAAGAAGCTGGTGAAGCTTCAGTTCTTCCATCAGGCACCATACGATGCCTTCGTGACGTCCACCTCTCGGAAGAAGATCTACTTCGGGCCGCTGCGACTCGATATGTCGCCGCCAGTGCTGGTGCTGCTGCAGAGCGTCGATGGCAAGATGATGCTGCGAGAGGTGTACCAGAGGGAGCATTCCATTCCCGTGCAGCCCCACCACCGGAGCATGGCCTTTTGGGTGGTCAAATTGCAGGGACAGTTGCACTTTGAGGTCGATCTGGATGATCAGAAGACTGTTACCAATTCCAATGCCCCGCAGATTAATCTGCCATCCGCTGAGAGCCTGTTGCGGGCTCCTGGCAACTCCAGCGAGCAGTCTGTGCCCGCCAACGACTTGGCGGTTGTCATTATCGACAGCGACAGTGACGAAGACGAGGAAGTGCCGGAGAAAAATGACACAGGTAAGGGCCAGAATGAGAGCGAGAAGCCCATGGAGACGGACAAGGAGACAGAGACGCCTCAGCTGGTGGGGGAATCTCTTCTGCTGCCAGTTCCGGATAAAACACAGGAGCTACCGCGCATGAACTTCACTATACAAACGATGCCCAGCAGTGGGGCGTTGCATATCACCCCAGGCACCTCCAGTCCAAAGGCCACAGAAGCTGCTACCGGCCCAGAATCCACGCGTCCAGGCAGCAACGAGAACAACTGGCAAGTAACTGGCCCCTTTCTGCCCTTCATAGCCAATGTGCCGGCAATTGGTGATCTGGCGCCCACCACCCAGTACCTTACACCCCAAGTGCAGCTCACCCAAACAGCAGTCGGCGCTTCCGCCGTTTCCTCCGCCGAGCCAGGTCCGTGCCTTGTTTCCTCCTTGGACCCGCCGGCACCCAAGATCGGCCGCTTCTCTTATGGTGCCAGGATCAACGAATCGCTGCAGGAGCTACTGAGCAGCGGCACCACCCCGACAGCGACGCCATCTGCCAGCATAACCGTCACCAAAATGGATGGCAATGAATCCAAAGGAGCAGCCAAAACACCAGGCAAGGCCGGTGATGCCATTAAGATTGGCACAAAGCGCAGTCTGTCTGGGGCGCCAAAGCATTTACCAAGACTCTTGCCCAAGCCAACTCCCGCGTCCACAGAGAAGCCAGACACAGGGGTGACACCAACGGCCACCAACGGTCCACCAACCTTGATCGTGGGTAATCAACAGCTGATACGAGCACGTCCTGCACCGACACCGGGGCCAGCCAACTGTGTGAAGCTGTACCCCAGGGGAGCGCCGTCCACCGCCGGCAAAGCTGTTGTACGAGCGCTAAAAGATCCACAGTCGGAGAAGGCACCAACTTCTGCGGCTGCTGGAGAGGGTAAACGAGTTGATAAACCGGCAAAGAAGACTACATCTCCATTGTACGTTCCGCCCACTCCTGGTCGGATGCCCGGCCGCATCTCTTTGCCTGGCAAGCAACAGTCTGCTGGCGCGGAGCAGACCCGCTCGCGCCCTTCCCTGCCAGCGAAGGTGCCGACGTCACAGAGTGCGACTCAAACGGAAGGGGCTGCGTCAAAGTGTATCTATGGCTATTTGGTATCCGATGGATTACCTAAATACCGCACCAAGGTTTTGGGCGATGATTTCTTTCTCAAGATGCCGAATGTGGGAATTCTGCGCTTCACGAACTGCACCACTGCCGGCGCCTACCTTAATCGGTGAGTGGCAAACTGCAAAGTCCCATGTAAAACACATAAGTTCAATATTTAATGGCTTCTTGCAGCGAACTTATGCGGAGGTCGGAGCACAAGGACTTGCTGCCAGCCGACTGGAAGTTCCGCCCCGACCCACAGTCGATTGTGCGGCAAACAATAAGCGCCAAATTGCCAACCAAGGATGAAGAGACACCGCCGCTCATTGAAATCGAAGATTAAACCCAAAAATATAAAAGGAAGAAACTTTTTTTTGTTGTCTCATTACATAAACAAAACGAAATATATTTTTGTTTGTTTAGTTTTAAGCATTAAAATGTACTGCACATACTTTACCACTCGCTCATCATCGTATCGTATGTCTGTCTGATACGTACATATGAAATATGTAAACTATCTAGTTTGTAACTTAAGTTGATCATGATCCAATGTTTTCTATCTTTAAGCAGATTTATTATTTACATTAAGTTTACAAAAATGTGGATTTAAATTCAATTCGTTCGAGCGCTCGAACAGCTGTTTCTTTGTTTCACTTCCACTTGGTTTCAGCCATCAGCAAGTTGTTTTCAGCTTATATATGCATTTTTCTGTGAAAAAACAGATTTTATAGAACCAAACTACTTCACACGGATCTTTGTCTTGGCAAAGTTAATCAAACTATTTCTCTGTTTTGTTGTCTACTCGCAAACTCGATAAGTTGAGTTTCATTTCCGAAGCGTTCCAGCTATCGCGGCAATCAACAGCTGTTCGTGGTTTTATTTATTGCAAAAACCGCGCGCAGCGAAAAGTTAAATAACTCATTGTTTACACAGCGGTGTTCCGCCTCGCATTGTTTTTTCGCTGATATAATGCATAAAGAAAGCTTGCAATATTAAAGCTTCGATAGTCAGCTGATAAGCGCCCACGCATTCAGACGGGGAAGCGTCAGAGTAAACAAAATAATTTTGTCAAATTTAAAGACAAAAAAAAAAACACCCAACCAAGGTCAGCCACAGATATAGAACTTTTCGTTCGCGCGACCACAAGACCAACCTATTACTTGTCTACACCACTGACATATATAAGTGTTTGGTTCGGGAAACACAAACATCGGGATATAGTCGCGACACTAATTCGCTTAACCACTAAAACAATTGCAGATACCGCTGAATCAAAAGCTTCACACGAGCGAGTTTCCATCGGTGCTGTGTCAGCGACAATTTTTCCATATCGCCATTCGCACTGTTCACGGTCACACGTCGCTGTTCTTGGACAGAAAAACGGAGGAAAATGGGCTGTGAAGATCAACAAAATACTCCAAAGTCAAGCCTGCGCATACAGGACATTGCCGTCCTGATGCAGGATCACTGCCGCATGCTAGATCCCGCCAAGGTGGAGCGCATCATCAATGAGTTCGTGCAGGGCGGACCAGAGCGCATGCAACTCGTGTCGGACTTTGACTATACAATCACCAAACAACGCACAGAGGACGGCAGTGTGGTGCCATCCAGTTTTGGCATCTTCAACGCCTGCCAGTCGCTGCCGGAAAGCTTCAAAACGGAGTCGGACAAGCTATACCACAAGTACAGGCCAATTGAAATCGATCCGCACATGCCTATTCCCGAGAAGGTCCAATACATGGTGGAGTGGTGGACCAAGTCGGGTGCACTGGCCACCGGCTTCCCTTTCGATCAGTCGGAGATTGATCAGATAGCCAGCAAATATAAGAATGCACTACGTGAACGGACTCACGAATTCTTTGCCGATCTACAGCGCTTGGCCATTCCCACCTTGGTCTTCTCCGCCGGACTGGGCAACTCTGTGGTCTCCGTGCTGCGCCAGGCAAACGTGATGCATCCCAATGTCAAGGTGGTGTCGAATTTTCTGCAATTTCGGAATGGACTTCTGGACGGTTTCCAGCAGCCCATGATACACACCTTCAACAAGAACGAAACTGTCCTGGACGGCAGTGAGTATTACAACCTGGTGCACACACGTGATCACATCATCGTGATGGGAGATTCGCTTGGGGACGCTGACATGGCATCCGGTGTGCCCGCATCTTCACACATCATCAAAATTGGTTTCCTCTTCGATCACGTGGAGGCCAACATGGATAAGTACATGAAGACATTCGACATCGTCCTGGTGGATGATCAGACGATGGATGTGCCCCGGGCTCTGCTCGCTCTTATCGAAAAGCAGCACCAGCTGAAACAACAATCCACAGCGGAGAGCTCCCTGTGAAACCTCCGCACCAACAGACGTTCTCCTTCTGTTTAGTACTCAAAAGCCGTTCCTGCTTTCTCATTAGCAGGAATAGGTGCTACATTTTATTAGCAAACACAAACACACAGCAGAAGCTACTAATTAAGTGGTTTAGTTTTAACCATTTCATTCATGTTAACAGAATGTATTATTCATACCATATTAAATGACAACGTTGTGTTTGAAATATGATTTAATCATTTTATTTAGAAAATATTTGGCTCAAATTTAAAATAAAGATCCCAATCGAAAATCAATCAACTTTACGAACTTTATGGCAGTTCAGGTAAACGATTTTTTTGTTTTTACAGGTATTTATTATTTTCAGCGGCTTAACTCACCTGTTTCAACATTGTGGGGCTAAGAGGGTTAAGTTCCTCCATCATTCACCAATATGGTATATTGGTAGTCGACTTAAAATAACTCTGGTATATTCCGGTATATCAGTGAGGGTCAGAAGGTATATCCGAAAAACCCGCTGTCACACTGTATACAAGAAAAATACACAAATCATTCAATAGCAAATTAGAATTTTACGAAATTAAATATACCTCGAGGGAAAGCGTGTACAAGTGAAAATTATTGAGCAAATGCCCAGTGCCACAGTGCCTTTTTGGAAACGTCTTCGTTTTGCGACTCTCCTTTCGCAGGAGTGAATTATGGCAGCAGCAAGGTAGTGCTAGGTACTGAAGAGTAAACGAGATCAGCTGCTGGCACAGCAACAACAACAGAAACGTAATAAAAAAAAAACAATACGGAACAACTTCAATATTAGACCAAGACAAGTGCAGCGTCATGTTTGGCTTCGATGGCGAGTACCGTCGTCGTCCGGTGCAAAGTCTTGGCGGCGCTTCCCATACCCACGACCGGGAGACTGTGATACGCAAAGCGGCCGAGGAGCGACAGAAACGCAATGATCTGCGCCAGAAGGCCAATGGCGCCGTGGTGCTGCAGTCCTATGCCCGTTCCTTCATTCATCGCCAGCGTCGCAAACGTGCGGAGCGTGAGGCCTTTGACGTATACCTGCAGGCCCATCGCCACCGCCTCACAGAGGACGAGAATCTGAATTTCCTGCTGCGTCGCCTGAACTTTTTCTACAGCAGTCGCGAGGCCAAGGATGGCGAACGTTTGGTACGTGACAGGCACAACTTTGAGTTACATGTTCCCCATTCGCTAGATGAGTTTTTTCTTTGCTTTTTTACAGATTGAAGTCTGCCAACAAATCCTGCGTAGCCCTGGCCGCCTGCTGCAGCATTCGGCAACGGATCCGATCTGGCTGTTTCGTGTGTGCAAGCTGCTAGACGCTTGCCTGCTCCAATTGACACTGTCCCAGTCCGCCCAGGCTATTCCGCTGCGCATGCTGGAAACCTTTACAACCGTCACCGCCGTGGAACGCTACGTGAGCGATGAGACGCTGCTGTTCAAGTACTTGGAGCGCGTTTTCGGCTTCCTTATCGCACGCAACTACTTCCTACGCTTGCGCCAGCTGCTGGATGAGAAGTGCCCGCCGCTGGATGGAGAAACTCTGCATGCACCCAGTCCGCTGGCCGAGGCGCTGCTCCATTTGCTGCTGCGCCCACTGGCAGTGGCCAAGCGGGCCTGCAATGGGGGACAAGTGTTGCCCGTGTCCTTGCTGGTGTGTCAGAATTTCGTAAAGGATATCCTGGCCACACCCCACACGGATGCCATGCGCTGTTTCGTGCTGCCCTGCCTGGCGGAATGCCCAGAGTTCCCCTTCGACCTGCTGATGCGCTCGCTCTTCGATCTGCTGGAAACAGCAGCGGCCACTGCCGCATCCGAGTCAGAGAGTGCCTCCAGTCGTCGCAGCTTTATGTTCCATGGTTCAGAGACTGGCAGCGGCGGCCCTAAGCATGCGCAGGCCCAATCTTTGGATGCCCTATTTACCTCATACTTACTTAACTCCCTCTTGGTGCTCGATCGCAGGCAGTTGGGTAGGTTGCAAAGACATTTTCCTACCATTTGATGGTTGAAATCATAGTACCCACTTTCCCCGCTTCTGCAGCCACACTACAGCAGAGTTCGCTGCTCACTGTCTACGTGCAAATCATTGCCGAAATGATGCCCAACATTCTGCTGCTGCCCAAGTCCACACTGCGTACGCATGCCAACGCCCCGCATCGACATGTGGACAGCGACGATGAATCGGATGAGGAGGAAGATGAGGAGCAGCCAGCCGCTCGCACACTGGACTACGACATGGAGCAGACATGTCGCACGAGCACCGAACTGAGCATCAAGGAGCGCGACTGCCTGCTGGAATCCATAGCCATACTGAACGAAATGGAGCGCGTGGACTTCATCGTGCAACAGCTGGATCCCCACATTGAGCACAGTCAACTGATCTACGCCCTCTGCGAGATTTGCCACAACCTAATGATTTACAACAAGCATGCAGTCTACGAGTACAAGTGAGTAATGGCCAGCATTCACCTTACAGTTGAGTAAAACCTTTTGTCCTTGCAGGCTGCTGTACACATTGGCCTTCACTCCGAAGTTTATTCGCGCCGTTTGGTTCAAGCTGGCCGCCGAGTCTACACAGCTTGGCTTCTCAGCGCCGCTTACCCTCATCTCCAAGGGTGTTGTGCGTAAGTGCAGACTCGGCCTTTTATGTGCCATAACAAATTTGAATTTCTTACGTATTTCCACAGCGAAACAGCAGGGTGTGGATCGCACTATACCCTTGTTGGCCACCTTCTGTATGCTCTTTGGACGCCTGCTGCCCACGCTGCACGATGTGGAGTTTGTGGAGAACAAGCTGCTGCTGACAAAGCACGTGCGTCTGATGCCCTTCTCGATTGCGGAGATTGTGCAAATGTCCAAGACGCTGAAGGACATTAGTCTGGGGCTCGTGGAGCTGGCATTTCCCGAGACACGCAGCAATTTGGCAAACTATCGCAGTGTGCTGGGCCACACGGAGGCCGATGACAAGAAGCTGCGCCATCAGAAGCAGATCTGGGCCAATTTGCTGAATGTTGTGGTCTTTGTGCTCAATCAGATACACACGCGTGACCTGCGCATGGGCTTCTGTCCGGAGTCACACTGGACGGTCAGTCGCTTGGATCTGCCACTGGACAGGCCCACCGATCTGCCCCTCACGCATAGCAGCCGCTTGCGCGGCATTCGTCCGTTTCAGCCGATTCGTGACTTTACTCGCGAAGACTTCGAGAACGGTCCGCCCATGTCCACCAAGCAGATACGCTCCATAACCATCCTGCGCGAGATTCCGTTTGTGGTGGCATTCAGCAAGCGTGTGAGCATTCTTCAGGGTCTGGTGGCAGCCAACAAGATGCGAGTGCAGGGCCATTTGCAAGCCTTTCTCCAGGGTCCATCCATTATGATTACTGTACGGCGTACGCATCTGTATGAAGATGCTTACGACAAGCTGCGCCCAGAGAATGGTAAGAAGTCGGGCTGTCTTTTATGTCCTGATAATGAAATGATTTTCCCTTGCAGAGCCGGATTTACGTCCCAAATTTCGCATACAGTTCGTCTCCTCGCTGGGTCTGGACGAAGCGGGTATTGATGGCGGCGGCGTGTTTCGCGAATTCCTTTCTGAGCTTATCAAAAGTGCATTCGATCCCAATCGTGGCTTCTTCATGTGAGGGAAAATGTCTACCACCCACGTGGACAATTCCTTAATGCTTCACCTTTGACTTTCCAGGGTAACCACGGACAACAAGCTTTATCCGAATCCGAATGTGGACGATCTGTTTGGTGACTTTGAGAAGCATTATTACTTCATTGGCCGCATTCTGGGAAAGGCAATCTATGAGAATCTGCTGGTGGAGCTGCCGCTGGCCGAGTTCTTTCTCACCAAATTGGCTGGCAAATACTCGGACGTGGACATCCATCAGTTGGCCTCTCTGGATCCGGAACTGTATCGCAATCTGTTGTACTTGAAGGACTATACGGGGGATGTCAGTGAGCTGAATTTGGATTTCACGGTGGCCAGCAGCTCGCTGGGACAAACGCAGATTGTCGAGCTGAAGCCGCAGGGCCAGAGCACGCCGGTGACCAATTCGAATCGTATCGAGTACATCCAACTGATAGCCGACTACAAGTTGAACGTGCAGATACGTCGTCACTGCAATGCCTTCCGCAAGGGTTTGTCCAATGTTCTGCCCATCGAATGGCTGTACATGTTCAGCAACAAGGAGCTGCAAATACTCATATCCGGTGCGGAGATTCCCATCGATCTGGAGGATCTCAAGAAACACTGCAAGTACGGCGGCGAATACACACCGGAGCATCCATCGATTGTGGCCTTCTGGGAGGCACTCGAGGGCTTCGATGATCTGCAGCGCAGGCAGCTGCTCAAGTTCGTTACCAGCTGCTCCAGGCCACCATTGTTGGGTTTTAAGGTGCGACTTTTGCATGGCATTTTATGTGGGCTTGATTGATCTAATATTACCTTTCTTTTGCAGGATTTGGATCCACCTTTCTTCATACAAAATGCTGGGGATATGGAGCGCCTGCCCACGGCCAGCACCTGCACGAATCTGCTGAAGCTGCCGCCCTTCAATAGCGTGGTACAAATGCGTGAAAAGTTGCTCTATGCCATACAGTCTGGAGTGGGCTTCGAACTCAGTTAATCTGTGCAGCCAAGGGCTTCCCATACGGCAACACTTCCACTTTCCTTCACATATCCTAATCCCAATCCCCACAACAAACCCCGAATAAAACGAATCCAATCCAAGGGACCCACCCACAGGCACGTTGCCAGCTATTCCAGTTCTTCATAGTAAATATATATATATATATATAAATGTGTATGTATAATGACTTACGATCGATGTGTAAAGAATATGAAGCTTAATGAGGTCTGTTTATCGAAGGTTTTTCTTTTGATTCTTTTTTTTTTAGTTGTTTAAAAGTTTCGTTTTTGCCCCGCATAACAAGCTATGAGTGTAAAACTTAAGGATGTAATGAATATTTCCACAATTAAGACGATTAAAACTATTGATTAAATACCATAAACGTATCCTCCACCAACTGCAATTCATCATCAACTCCAACTCGCCTGAAGTCCTGCTGCTGCTGCCGCTACATCCAGTTGCCAGGCCTGTTGAATGATTCGCTCATAAACCATGCGTGGTGCAGTGACGGCAAACAGAAAGTCAATGTGATTGTAGCCGGGCACCTGATACAGACGTGTGCGGCTCTGGCGCAGCTCGTTAACCAGTCGCAGCACATCCGCCTGGCTGGACAGGGCATCGCGTGTGCCATGAAAGATCTGTAGCTGCAGGCGCACATTCCTCAACTGATACGAGGGCGGCGTGGGCTGGCCATATCGACGCATATTGAGCTGGGGCGAGCGATAGTCGTATTGCTGGAATTTGCCTGCGCATGAAACGGAGAAAGACATCAGCAAAAGGACGTGTAAAGGGACCTACCCACCGCTATTGATGAGCTGCCCAAAGTGCAGTAGTTGGCCACGCGATATGCCCGCGGGTATTGTCTCCAGTATGCGCGGCAGGAGGCTCTGTGGAAAGTCCAAATCGGAGTATGAAGCCATTCTGCTATGCTTAAACTTTCAAATACGTTTAAATTGTGTGATATGAAGCCGGATATATGACCTCTCAACCATTTGTGTGTGTGTGTGTGTGTGTGTGTCGGCCGGTGTATCGGCCGGGTGTGTGTTCAGGCTGCCATTTCCGTTTCATTGCGACACAAAGCACACGGAAGTGCACACAAGAACACACACATACACACACACACACACATGAGCAAACACACTCGTGTAGCGAGGAGGTCGCAGGTCAAAGGCCAGCAGGTCCTCTTGCTTTGATGGCCACTGCTCCGGCTCCGGCTCCGGCTCCTGCTCCTGCTGCTGCCTCTGGGTGCTGGATTTTTATTATTTGTTTAGAAATTAGCTGCTTATTTGTTGATCAGAAATGGGTTTCCAGTGCCCGAGAGTTTCAATTTAAAATGAAAACTCATTTAGATTTAGATTGATTCGGGGTAGCGAATAAATTGAACCAAGGAAGGAGCCAGGTGCTGGCAGATTTAAGAGCTTAAATCAGTAAGGGCCCTGGTAGAGTTCTGACTTAAATTCTACTTCAATTCTCTCACTGAACTGCACCAAAAGTTTTCCTTTGTTAGCACATTAAACGTCCATGGAAAAAGTGTAATTACGAATCAAAGAAATTGTTGCTTGATTGAATCTGAATTGGGGGGAATATGGGGGGATGTGCCACATCCAAAAATGTCGAATGTCCGTGCTTCTTCTTGCAAGGATTTCCCTTTTTTTTGTATTTTTATTTTTAACTGAAGTATTTTATGTAAATCGGACGACTTTAAATTTCCCTGACAAGCCATTGAAATCCGTTGCATGCGTCGCGACGCGTCTCGTTGAATGTGGATCCTGCGTTCGGCGTTTTGCGTCCTCCGTCCTGCGGCGACATTTTTTTTTGCTGTTGTTATTTTGATGTTTATTTGATTTTCCGCCTGGCCGTTGCATTTCCACACGACAGTTGGTGTTGTTGTGTTTTTTTTTTGCAGCAGCAACAACCAGCTTGCAACTTGTGGCAAATACGAGCAATTTTTTGTGCCGCCAGCTTGTTTGTGTTTCCCCGAGTTTTTCTTTACCCCATTCAACCCCATCCCACTTTTGCCTTACGCTTTTTCCTTTACTTTCTTTATTCCCTCTCGAATCTTACTGGACGCATTGCAGTCGCAGTTGGCCAAGTCTGTTGAACTCTATGCGGGCAGCAGGGGCTCGAGGGGGCAGCTCCTACTAAATATGCACAAATATTTATTCGGACGTCTATCTGTATGTGCGGTGGTATGGTGTGGCATGTTCGGCAGTTGTCACAAGTATCGCCTCGCTCCATTTGCTCAGCGCGCATCTTTGCTCCCTATTTGCTTAGTCATATATTCCCCCGTTTCCACTTTTATTTGTATATTTCTCTCTCTCTCTCTACAGTGACTAGTTTGTTGACTGTTTTTTTGTTGGATGGCAGATACGGCACGCGGTTGCACTCACTTGATTCCTGTGTCAAGTGCCAGAGTATCTTCCAAATTGCTGTGTTGACACTCGTCTTCGTTTTGGCTCTGCGAAGTTTTCAATTGACAAAACTTACTTATGCACAGATTTTCGTGATGTTTTCCCTGGTAAAGGGATACTGATTGGTTTTCTAAGATATTACTTGATTTGAGGTAATATTTACAATGCCAGAAATCTGTGTACTTTTATTTGTTTATAATTAATTGCTGGCTGCACTTCCCATGCCCAATGTCCCCTTTGCTGGCCGAGTTTTATTTACTTTTGTGGCGTGTTTTATTCATCATTTCAAACGCTTATTTATGGCTGCATGTGCAAAAAGCCTTGAGGGTTATAAGAGAGAGTTCTGTATGGTTTTTAGCCCTTTTTTTTTGGTTTCGCTGTCTCTTGGCAACTATAAAAAAGTTTCACATCCGGCTGCTTCGGCAGCCACATCAGTCGGTGGAGAGGTCGGTCCAAAAACCAATTGGCCCAAGCCCTTACCCTAATAACTAACAAGCGGCACTTGCCGTCTAAGGGGTGTGTGGCATACACACATGCAAAACACACACAGACAGACACACAGTCAGTCCGTTGGTAAGCCCTTGGAGCACGCGCCCCCGTAACACGGCAAACACACAGATAAGCCATAAAGTTCCCTTTTTTTGCGCTCTTTTTTCTTTCTTTCGCTGCACGGGCGCGATTTATTTGCCATATTTCACGGCAAAACAAAATTCAAATGCAGCACGACTCGCATGCAGCCTGCGAAAGGGAAACAAAAAGTGTTTAAGGCAACGTGGCGTATACGTAATGCATGTTGTACTCTAGTTAGCCGCCAGCGTGGGTGGGTGGCAGGCTTATAGTAGTTCGGTTGGGCAATGGCAAAAGTTGAGTGCACCTTTTGGCTGCACACACACTGGAGCAGCAGTGGCAGGAGGAGGAGATATTTGCACTGGTGGCAGGTGGAAGTCGGACTTTGAGTCGATGTGCAGATGCTCTGAGTGGTTAATTGATAAAGGTATGTATGTAGATAAATATATACATGTATGCTGTTCATTGAAATGATAATTATCCCTATCCCTTATCCTTATATTGTTAGGCAGGCTACCAAATGCCAGCTGCCATCCATGTACCCCATGTACTCCTGCGCACCCTGCCTTTGCCACAATAGTTCTGACCTAACTTTCAACCAGGAAGCTGTAGCACCCCGGCAGGGAGCAGCTCGTTTACGCATTTAAATTCAAATAACTTTTATTACCAAAACTAAGGCTTCCCCGCCCCGAATGCACCCCACTGCCACTTCCGCTCCCTCTCTCCCTCTCTCTCTCTCTCTCTCTCTGTGTGTGGTCCCACTCGTGAGCGCAATAAAAACTTTTTGCATACAACAAGAAAAAAAGAGAAAACTTTTGGGGCCGCTTTGTTGGCTAAATTATGGCCCGCATATATAATCGTACTCACACGATCCACTGGATAGTCACTGAAGCCCACATAGAGCGAGGTGAACAACGTGCAGAGGGTATAGGTGGGCAGGGTGGCGCTGCAAAAGAACTGCCCACCCACCTGGGTCAGCGCAGTGGCGGGCAGCAGCTCGTTGAGGCCCAGCTTGTTGAGCAGCAGCTGCAAGGGGGGAGGATTAGCAGCGATTCTAGTGATACCTCCACTCAGCAGATGTACGCACAGTGGCACCGAAACTGTCGCTGGCCAGCAGACGCAGCGGCGGACTGCTCAGGTGCTGGAGAAAGGCCACGGGAGCCATTAGGGCCGCATTGGCAAATCTCGCATTGTATTCGGGACGCTGCGAGAGGAGTACCAGCAGCACCGTGGTCCCCTGCGAGTGGCCCACATAGTGCAGCTGGCGATGTCGCGTCACGGCCAGCACATGGTCCACGATGGCGGGCAGGTCGTAGAGTCCAATCTCGTGCCAGCTGAACTGCCAGAAACGCGCCTCGCTTGTCCGCAGTGTGCGGTGGCGTCGGGAGTGCGTTGTGCCCCGGGCATTTGGCAGCCAGACATCAAAGCAGCGCCTGTGCAGCTCCAGGGCCAGCGCACGGCCCGGTCCGGCAGTCACAAAGTCTGCGGCCGAGCCGAGGAGCCCGTGCATCAGCACAAAGGGCCGCAGCCTGATCCCACGGGTGCAGCTCTGGTTGCGCGGCGCGGGAATGCGATGAACATTCAGGAGATACCCGTCGGCTGTCTCCACGCGATGCACTTGACACTCGAGGCGCTGCCGCTGCACCATCTGGCACACAGAGTCGAGCCGCAGTCGCTGCCCGAGGCTGCCTTCCAGCTGCCAGCTGATCAGCATAAAAATGACACAAACTTTCATGGCGACTCCGCTTAAGGCATGATTGTGCCCAAGTGACGTGCGAGCGGCTACTGCGGCAGTCAGTGCATTTGTTGACGAGTTTTGTGTTTACGCAATGCAAATACTGAGTGGAGCAGCGACTGTGAGGCGCTTCAAATAAATACATTTTCATCTTTTGTTTGCCCGCCCCGTAGACAAGCCGCTGGGCAGTGCCGCTCAGCGCGGAGTGGAATATGGCCTGGAATATGACCCAGAAATTATGGGAGAATTATTTCAGAGAACTTTCTCTTAATTCGATTTTAAATATTAATCTGAACATTCTCTGGTTTTTTCTGCACTCTCTGCCAACTCTTTGGTGTCATAATTTACACGTGGAAACGGTCCAATTAAATGTGTTATTATATTGGCTGGTAATCAGGCCCCAAAGAGTGCCCAAGCCGCACTCCCCCCCCCCCCCCCCCCCCCCCCCCCTCCCACTGCTGACTGCTCTAATTAGCAGCATTAATTTACAGACCAATTTCGGGCCCTGCTGCTGAAACGCGTTGAAGTGCACCCAGGCCGCAGTTCTGACATGCCCATTCGCTCATGTACATATGCATGTAGTTATGTATGTAGTAGTTATGTCTGTTACATAGGTATGCATATAATGAACGCAGCAACCGACTGACTGATTGAATGACTGTGGACAGGCAATAGTAGCAGCGATGCAAGCAGCAGCAGCAGCAGCAGCAGATGTTGGGGGCTCTTCTGCCTATGTGATTTACAATTTGAATCGTCTGAACGTGTTGAAAATGCAATCGTGCTAATTAAAATGACCGCGGGGCGAAAGCGTGTGAAATTATTGCACATCATAGATAGATGTGTGACGCTCAGCAATGAGAGAGGTCGAAATAGAGGCAATAATTTGGGCACAACTGCAACTAAAAGCAGTTAAATGAAGGATTTCCCGTACTCATAAGAGCTGTAGATATTCATAAATAAAACCCTTTGGTAAATATAACCAAACACTTTGGTAACTCAAACATTTGGCCCTTTCCAACGGGATCTGTCCAGCAGCTATTGTTCTGCAACTCAAGCGCAACTTGACCTGAAACCGAATAAAAGTTTACCAAAGATTGAGATGGAAGTGCCGAGCTGAAACCCATCACACATTAATCAGCAATTTCCAGCAGCGTTTTCCCGCAGAGACCTATGAAAATTCATTTGTGCCCAAATAAAAGCTGCAAAAATCTTATGTAAATGCTGAAAAAAAAGGGAAAAAGAAAACTCCAAGTGGTGGTGATAGCGAGGGAGTGAGAGAGGGCAAACACGAAGACAACATTGCGAAAGGCAGCTTCAAGTTAAGTAAATTTGATTCAAGGACACTTGACTTGGCATGGAATCCCTTTGGCTACTTACCCCCAGCCAAACCCAGACCCGTCTTCACCCTCTTCCAGTTCCATTTGAGAAACGATTTTAATACTTTCTCGCACAAAAGCTACTTAAAGTTTTCGCCTCTGCCCGACGCTTAATTCGTTTTTTGTCAACAGCAAGGAAAACAAGCAGCAAAAATAAGAATAAAAGTTTTATTTTTAAATTGAGTTAAGTTCATTTTTCTCTTTGCTTTTCTTGTTTTTGCTGCTTTTGTTTTGGCCAAGTTGGTCTGTGGGGCAGCGGAAGTTTGCGCTTTGGTTTGCCTAATAAATGTGCGTGCAAACACAAGGGATACAGGGACAGGACAGACACAGAGGAATAGAGAGAGAGAGTGTGTACTAGCGTCAGTGGTTGCGACAGCCAAAAGGATAAAGGATAATGACAGCCATTAGTATTAAGTGCGCGTTGGCTACTTTGCAAGCTACTCCTGAGCCTGCTCCCTCCGCATGTGGGGGCGAGGACTGTTCCGTGCTTTTCTTTTTCCCCTACTTCTGCCCGCTCATTAAAGTTGTTAAGTACTTGGCGTAATTGTGGCTCGCAGCACGCAGCACGCAGCACGCAGCGGGACTCAGGCACAACTATGAAACTTAATTTAAATGCGCCTCCGGCGCCGCCACTTAATTCGTGAAGCAGAACTGCACAACTTTTGGCCAAAACCTTTCCTCCAACTTGAACTACAATTTATACGTATTCCAAGTATGTCCACACAACAAGTCAATGAACTGAAACAACAGATTTAACCGATCACAGCAACAAAAGCCACTGGCCGCATCTACGATTACGTAGGTGACATTTCCTTGCCGGCACTCGACCACAGCTCGAGCTCCAATTTCATTTCATTTTGTAATACAAAGGCATCAACGAAACAATTCACTCAACAACACAAAACAAGAAGAGAGAGAGAGAGGAGTGGAGTGGTGAATTTCTGGCATTTTTCTCTCGCTTACATATTTTTGTTTCCAGCAGGCCTTTGTGTGCCCTTACAAAGCAGCAGCACAGGTAGCTTTAATGCAGTGATTAAATAATTTAAAATGTTAGTAAAGAGCGGCACTTTGCCACACTTTTTTTCTGGCAGCAACTGAAAGAGCTCTTCGACCGTCTTTTGGCATAGAAAATCCCAGCAATATATCTTCATCGTAAGAGTATTTCTTGATCAACTTGTTGTTTTTCTCATCTCAATCTCAGTGATTCTCCTTTGTTGCATGTTTTTTGTTGCTTTATGACGTGCAACAAGCACGCCACATTTGCGTTCAATGGGCATGAGATAATGTCATCATCAACATCGTCGTCGTCTCCATCATGCAGCCGCCGTCTGACGCGATGGTTCTGGTCAGGTGAAAGCACTTGTTGGGCAGTGCCCCAGACCCCAAGGGAGCTGCGTACCATACTTAGTTCGTGTCTGGTGGCATTTTGTTTTCAACAAAATTGCATTCGTTTAATGGGAATTGCATTTTTAATTAATTTCTGCTTTTGGTTGCCCCCATAATGGATGTGGCAGGGCATGGCAGGTGGCACCAATTAAAGATGAAAATGAATGGGAAAAGCAAAAACGGTGAGAAATTGTGTGTTAATTAATTGATTAATAGGTGTGTGTGTGTGTGAGTATATATTCTAATTATTAAACCATTAAGCCATAACTCTTCTTTTTTTGTTGCAATATTTGTAGAATTTGTGGAAATAAATCAGATATTCTCCAGTGGAAATCATATCTTCTGTCTTCTGGCAATAATTATATGATATTTATTGCACATTTTTCTGCATTGGTAGATTTTTATTTATTTTTTGTCCATTCACATTTCCTATGGCAGCAACTCCCGCAGCAAAGGGACATTTTTGTCTCCCAATTCATATATTTCCAGCAAATGCCTCAACCTACAATTGAAATATATTTATGTATGGCAATGCCCAGTCTCCCTTTCGCTCGTGTGATTTTATTTTATTTTTATTTTATTTATTTCCACATTATTTCCATATTCATTTGATTTTTTATGCATGCCAAGCTGATGAATCCTTTTCTTTTTCACTTTTTTATGCTTGTTTTGAACGGATTGTTTTTGTTGGGTTTTTCATATATTTTTGTATTGAAAATGTATTTTTCTCGCTGTCAAATATTTACAAAGAGTTTTCAATTGACGAATAAATCTGAAATGTAAAGAATAGAGCAACAAATAAACATTTAGTTGTAATATTTTTGTTAAATGAAAGTGTAAATGTGATTGCTAGCAATTTATGAGAGTTTTTTCGCTAAGGGATTTCCCAATTTTCTTCCATCAAAGCAAGCTCAGTCGTCAGGTTGTACAGGCTGGAAAAGAAGCGGCAGCGAAACCTGTTTGGCATATTAATTATTTATAATTATTGTTAATTTCCAAAGCAGCCAACGAACCAAACAAAAACAACACAGCACTGAGAGAGAGAGAGAAAAAAAGAGAGAAAAAACCACAAAGAGAACCTCAATTAAAATTCAAATTAGAGCGCTTGGCAAAATGTTCTTCGCAAGAGTGCGAAAACTTAAAACCGCAGCAGTCCCCCCCAATCCCCCTGAAAACTAACTGCCTAAAATGAAATATGAACCCCAGGCAGTGCTCCGCGAACACAGGAAGCAGCAGGGAGGCGGGAGTCGGAGTCGGAGTCGGAGTCGGGTGAGCAAAAGCCAACTTCGTCAGCCATGGACTACTAATAAGAAATTTGTGAACTTTGCAAATTTGCCATCATTAATTCTGTGGCAGGGAGCTGCTCCGTCGGGGCATGACTGCCTCGGAAAATTGTCGAACGTGAACATTTTTCATTTGTCGTCGTCGTCGACGTCGTCCCTTTTGTCACAGTTGCCCCTCGTCATTGTATAATAATTGTCAAGCAATTTAAATCGAAGCTTGGGGCATAATAAATTGTCATAAGGCAGGAGGCAGCAGGCAGGAGGTCGCAGGCATGGACACGCCCCAACTTGAGGGATAAAATAAGAAAGAAAAATAAAGCGAAAAAAAAAGTAAGGTAATGAGGAAACGGAAATTGCTGCCGGAAGTCGGAGCACAGGCTCAGGCCCAGGCCCAGGCCCAGGACCAAGAGAACGGAAGCTCATTTTGCAATATTCACAGACGACTGATTTCGATTTCGATTTCTAGCAGCGACTTCTTCAACCTCCTCTGAATTGTAAATTGATTGAGGGAAAGTGCTGCAAAAGTTTCGTTTGTTCGTTTATAGTAATCATTAATAAAAGTGGCCTTAAGAGTAGAGCCTGCCCCATGCAATGTTTTGCAAGCTGACCTTTTGGCCTTGCTTTGGAGGCTGATTATCCTTGGATTGGCCCCCCTTTTGCACCTCAAGAATTTACCTTTACCATTTTCATTTCCTGATTTAGCTTCAGTTTTCCTTGACGCTGGTTGCTCTGGCATTGGTGCTGCTTTAATGCCGGGCACTGCTGCAGTGTGCCTTTTGCCTTTTGCCTTTTGCTGAAGAGCCCCCGCACCAAGGGCTCGGAGCCGTTTGTCTGCCAAGGCAACAAAATGGTTGCGCGCAACGCTTCGAGTAAATGCTTTCCATGTTGCCAAGTTCTCGTTCGTGAAGAGCTGTTCAAATAAGCACCAGAGGAGCAGGCATCAGGCATCAGGCATCAGGCATCAGCAGCAGCAGAAACAACGAAGGAGAAAGTCAGCGGGCAGGTGGGTTAGCTGCGGGACAGGTACGGGGTCAGGGATATGCCCAGAGACAAGAATAGGTACGGTGGCTGCCTGACGTTAGTTTCATTGTTGACATTCCCAGGCGGAGCTGGGGAGAGCGGGCCAGAGCGGGCCAGACTGGGGCTGAGAGCGTTGCAGGTGCGGCCAAGGGTAGCGATGAAAAAAGGCAACAAAAAGCAATTAACTTGGCTTACATCTTTGTTGAAAGTAGAGACTCATGGCGCGATTTATGCCGCCGGCACAACGGCTCCCGCAGCACAGCTGTGGGTGCAAGGCTGCCACCCCAGCCTTGCCCCTTGACTTGGCTCTAATGAAACAAAAGTGAAGCGTGAATCTCGCACAATGATAAAAGTTAATGGCTTGCTCCACTTCAGAGGGTTAGATCTGGCTTTGATTCCACGGCAAATTGTACAGCAGCAGCCGTAGAGGCGATGTGGCACGTGGCATAATATTGAATATTGAATCAAGCTGAATGCATCTTAAGCGGTTCCAAGTGTTCAAATCTTTCCAGCTGCCAAGTCCCCCCAGAAAAAGAATTATCCATAGCATTTATCCTGTGTTTGTGTTCAGCTTTTTCTTTGGTTTTTATTTTCTATGTTTTGATTTTCGTTATAATCTCTGCCCTTTGAATAATTTTGCTTTCAATGCACAATTTTCCACCGAAAAACTCCGAATGGCATTCTGGTTTTTGTTTGATTTATGCTTTTCGCATGATCGACATGTCAACATGTTTGATTTTTAATTTTCATTTATATTCCCATTTTGAGTTTTCCAATCGATTTCCCTTTTTATTTGCCATTTGCCAACTAGTTTGGGGGAGTGGCGGGGTGGGCGCCGCTCATTTAAATACAAGCTTAATGTTAATGAATTAATTTTAAGCCCTTTGCCAGTGTTGGCCTAATTGGTTTATGCCTTTATGCGGCTTACCAATATTGAATATCAATTTATGTTTTTTGTTTTTTTTTTTTTAATATATATTTCTTGCTGTTTTGCTTGATTTTCGACTACAAAAGAAGCTCATTTTGCGTGTATTTTTGTGTATATTGTGTTAGGGGTTTTGCAGCTTAAAGCCGGACTTTTGTCTTGTCTGTTTGTTGGGTAGCTATAAGCGCTGAAATGTATGCTACACACAGAGAGAGAGAGAAAGAGAGTATCCACAGAACACAGCATCTACAAGAGACTGAATATGTAGACATTTGGGGGTGTACACAATCTATAGAACAGTTTCATCAATAAAATAATGTTCAGTTTCTCAGTTTCTCTAATCAAAATGGACACATAATACATTGACTTGCTATAAATACATAAATACATACATAACTACATGAATATATATATATATATATATATGTATGTATGTATTGATGTATGTTTCATGTTCTGGTTGAATTCTGGCAGGTACCTGACACGTAAATATATCAATTAGTAGTGAGGATTGTAGTGGCGGGTTTGGAGTGTCTGAAGCAAAAGAGTTATAAATATATTTCTAAGGAGTTTTTCTTGCCCCATTTGTCGCTTGCGTGTAAAGCGCCTAAAAGCGAGCTATGCGAACTACAGCAAAAATGTTAATTTTGGCTTTTGCTTTCTTTTGTTTTGTTTTGTTTTGTTGTATATGGAATACAATTTATACATATACAAATACACATACACATAAATAGATACACATACACAATATATAGATTTTATATATATAGATTTCATAAAACTCTTCTAGCTTGTAAATACTTGAAACTATTCTATTTTCTTGCTTAGACTACGTACAGTTTTTTGGTTTCTTGGTTTTCTTTACTAGTTGTAGCTTTGGTTTTTTGCATTTTGTTTTTAACACTTAGGGTTCTTTTGGCAACTGGAGCCTTTGGCCTTGCCAAATTGATTTCTTGGCAATTTGTGCGCCAAAAAGACTCCAATTATTGGACGAATTGTTGATATACGTTGCGTATTATGCTCAAAAGTGAGTGAATGAGTGGGGACAGAGCGACAGAGCACAATAGTGAGTGGGTTTTAGTGTGGGCTTAAGTGGTGAGTGGGGGACAGTTCGGTGATTTGGGGGTTGGTGATAGTTAGCTACTAGTTAGACGGCTAGCAAGCGTTAGAGCTAAGTGCAGCGCAAACTTTGGACTGAACTTTAGCGTTGATTGGCGGCCACCGAACGGCAGTTTTTGCTATGAAAATCTTTAAGCATTTTCCACATTTTCTGCTGACTTGCTGCTGCTGCTGCTGCTGCTGATGCGCTTATATTTTTAAGCTTAAAGGCAATAAGTTTCGCAAACATGGCCGTTTAAGTACATACTATAAGTGTGCGTATGTATGTGTATATCGTAGAAGAGAGTACCCAGCCGGCACACGCACACGCACACGCACACGCACACGCACACGCAGCACTCTTGCACACTTGTGTGTGTAGGTGGCATGCCCCCTTCTACTGGGTAGCACTCACAATCACATGCTTCGACAAGCACAAGTTTCAATTTGTTGCACATTTATTTATTTTTTTTTTGTATTTTTTCGAGGCATTAAGTAGCTGCCCAAGCTCAAGTGCTGCAAACTGTACGAGTGTGCGCCTGTGTGTGTGTGTGTGAGTGTTGACTAAGCGGTTTAGTTTCATTTGGCATTTAACAGTTAGTTTCTCTTTGCTTGTATTTTATTTTGTATTTTATTTTTCGTATTACACAACACTGAAAGCACACATAGAGTTTCGGTTTTTCGGGTTTTTTCTTGCTGCTGCTGCTGCTGGCATTTCTCTAGAACATTTAGATAGAAATACAATTTACGCGCTAAATACAAGTGTGTGGCAGTCGAACCTAAAGTTACACGTTCCGTGGCTGCAGGTAAATGTACTTAGAAGGTGGCGGAAAAAGCAATAACTTATGCACCATGCGCTGGGAAGGGATGGAGATCGAGATTTCACCGTAATGAAGAGACCACCTTCCAAGTGAATTCACCTTGCGCTGGCTTCGAGCTCTCTGGACACTGGCCTAAAGTTTCGACTGTACTTTTGATTTCGTTTGTTTGGAGATTGCACAACAATTACTTGACGCTACTTAAGGGCTAAAAATGTTACAAAAATCGACATCGAGCTCCAATTTTAAACCAAATAGCGAATCACAATCACAACAAATGTGTGGGGCTGGGCGAGGGGACTTACGGGTTAACCTTACGATTTGCTTAGATTGGACGGCGATGGCGGCCACTGCCGCTTGATGACGGCAAAGTGTGTCATTTGAAAGGTGTTTGTCAGCTGGCAGCGACGCTCGACAAAGCCCGTGAGGCAGTAGCCCATGTTGTAGTCCTCCATCGATATGTTCGACGTCAGATACAGCTTGAACTCATCGTTCCACGCCGGCTGTGACTTGTGACAGCCGCCATTGGATCTGATCTGAGAGGTTGCCCCCGCTGCTGCTGGTGCTCCTGCAGTGGCTGTTGCTGCAGTTGTTGGAGTGGCAGCCACACTGCCGGATGTTGCTGCTGTTGCTGTCGCACCCGTTGCCAGTGGCACGGTGCTTCTGTGTCCAAAGTGTCCGGCAATCAGCAGGGAGCCCTGCTGCTCCAGTGGCAGCATTCGTGCCTTTGTCGCCCGACGCTGGGTGCCGGCGCACTCGACAATGCGGCAACGATTGGGCTGCCACCAGCAGGGCGTGATGGTCCAATAGCTGGACGAGGCAGTGCGCGCCCAGCCCTCTTCAGGATAAAGCAATATCTGCAACGAAAGATGAATGCGATTGAGAATGCCAAAGAGGAATACAGAATACAGAGAACAGAAGAGAAGAGAAGAGCAGAGGGAGAGCCAATTGCAAATTGGTTTTCTGTGTCGCACTTTAATTGAAAATCGTAATTGAAATCGTGCAAATTGTTTAGCCATGATTTAGATTTAGATTTCCATCTCACACCTTAATCGACTGCAGTCTCTAAAGTGTTTCTCATTAAGTGGACAATCACATTGAACACACGCTTAATTTCGACACAAAATAAATGGCCACTCAGTGGACACGAAATTGCTTGTGTCGTTTTTATTGTCATTATCATTATTTACACAAATACAGTGGGACCTGCCCAAGGTGTAACATTTAATGTCCCAACATTCCTCTGCTTCGCAGGGGTTTTCCCTCGTTTAAATCCACCGCCAAATATCTCTTATCGCACTGACAACCGCAAACTGCAACTGCAGCAGTCTGCCAGCTAACACGTGTGGCATATGGTGGATTTATCAACCGAAAGCCATAAATAAAACTCGTTAGTTAGTTTATCATTTGCCAAATGCCAATCGAAGCCACAGCAACAGCAACAGCAACAGCAACCCCCGCACCAGTGCCAGGATCAGTCCGAAATCCTCGTTTTGTGTGCGGTTGTGGCGGCCAACTGAATGCCGTTCGTTTATAATTAATACACTCACGGCACGCTGGATAGAGCAGTTATTTCAAATATGCCAAATATTTGTGCAAAACGAGGCGTATGCTTAATGCTTAAAGGCTGCTCGGGAAATCACTGGGGGGGGGGTGATAGCACTGAGGGGAAATCACTGAGTATCGCAGTAAAAACTCCAAGGAAAACTTCAACAAAAGAGAAATAAAGAAGAGAAAAGAGAGAGGCGAGACCAATGGCCACCGCAGAAGGTGGAGGGAGGGGACTGGCGGCAGGAGCAGACAGCTGGACAGCAGATGCTTTTGAAATTGAAGTGGCTGCAGTTGGTGCAACCGCCGGAGGCTTGCCCCATACGCTCTCGGGGGTCTCTGTTCCTCTTTATGCCGCCTCTCCATTTCGGAACTTGCTACGCTTGTACCCCGCTCTGCGGTGACTTTAATATATATGCAAACAAAATAAATAAAGGAAAACTCCCGGCCCAACCCCAGGTAAACTGCTTTAAATGAATGCCCCGCAGAAGCGCTTAAAAATGCATCAATTTTCCCTTTATTCACGCTTAAAAACATTGGCCAGGGCCAAAAACAATGGCGCCCGGCAGCTGGCAAGCAGAATGGCAAGTGCAAATGGGTCGAGGGGGTGATGGGCGATGCGGAATGGGAGGCAAAGCCTCGACCGACACGGCACATTAAGTTCGAAATGAAAATCCTCTTCACCATTAATGAAAATTAAACGATTTTCGAGAGTTTCGATGGCGCTGAATAAATACGAGCACGAACAACATGCCACACAGAGAATCAAACCTACGGTTACAAAAGAGTTTCAGCGACTGATTTTTGATTTACGATGAAGGGAAGGGCATTGCTCGTAGATTGTATAATGAATTGGCATAGATTTGTGTGCAGATTGTTGAAAGGGAATTTGATTTCTTTGTTCATTAGTTTTGAATCGAAACTTCGTGGAACATTCTTCATGCTCAGGGCAATAACCATTAAAGCTGCCATCGTAGCTGTCTGCAAAGATGACACATAAATCGGCTCTCGACTGCCTCAGCGCACGTGCTGCATATATTTGTAAACTGCTGCCAGATTAGAAAAGAAAATCACCAAAAAAACATAAAGAAACTGAATCGAGCTGCAGAAATACGCAAAACGAAAGTCAAATAGTGGGAGCGATCCCTGCCACCCTTTGCATTATTCAAAGCTGCCAGAAGTGCGCGCTGCGAAAATTGAAAATGCAACGCCAGCGAGCGAGCAACAAATCGCTTGCCACTATCAAGGGTCATAAAATCCTTCACTGCCAACCGTTTGCCGCCACACGTTCCACACTCCACCGCCAATTGGATGCGTCAGGCAGGGGGTGAAACAAAAACAAACCCCCAAATGGAGGGCCGAAAAATCACTGTGCAAAAAGAAGGGAAAAAGTCTTTTGGTATTTGTTCGGTAGAAATATTACAATGCTATGTGATTACTTTTCGTTTATTTTGGCATTTAGTAATGTAAATATTTTATATTATTTGCCATTTAAACAATTAATTGTTTGGCAGCTGCGGAAATTGGTTTTTCTTTGGTTTTTCTTTGGTATTTCTGTGATATTTCTTAGGAATTTGTTGTCATCGCTGCTAGCAATCCCACATCAAAGTAACAATTCACGCACGCACACGAACACATCTGGAGAGAGACAGAAATATATATAGAGAGTGGGTGAGGGGGAGAGGGGGAGGTAGAGGGCGCACACACGTACACGCTGGAAAATCACTTCCGCTTTTGAGCTGCAACGTTGGCAATTTCGCAGCCAGGGGCCATGGGAAACCATAGCTGGGGAAGAGCAGAATAAATGGGTCGCGGAGATGTGCTGCAACGGGCATCAGGTGGCGACTGTGGCAATCGAAAACGTGGCACAGAGACTGACACTGGTAATGGTCCTCATGGGCTGGTCCTCGCACTGCCACTCGTCGATTCCTTGAGGCGCTTACTTGAGGCGTCCATAATCGATTTCTGGCACTGACTTGCTTGGCTTCCTTCGTGAAAATCGTTTGTTGACTTTGCCATTTTTTATTGCGTGCCATTTTATGGCCGCCCACAGGACACCGATCCGGGTTGGGCTGGGTCTTTGGCTTGCCAGCTTTCTCGGTAAATAAAAGTGCTCGGGCTGCTCTTGGCTGACTGCCGCCATTGTCAGCAATTGGCAACTTTGTCTATTAATTTGCTTAATGAGTTCAATGACAAATATTGAACGGCTGCAACTTAACAAATAGCTGCCAAGTTTCGCAGAGTTCTCAGAGGAGAGCAAAGCTAAGGGGCAGGCAGCAAGGGAGCTGGATGCCCTGAGCCGGCACAGAAACTTTTCTCATTTCGCTGGGGCTCGACGTTAATTAATTAAGTGCTGCCGCAGACATTTCAACACTTTTAGCAGTCAGTCAGCAGTGGAGTCGGTCCATCAGGCAGTCAGTCCTTCCATCAGTTCTTCAGTCACTCAGTCTCACCCTTCAGTCAGCCATCGACTGACTCACTCATTACTTAGGCAAATTGTCTTTGTATCTGTGCCACTTCAACTTAATTACCCGCCTTATAAGTATGCTGCAGAGCAGCGCCAGACAGCAGCAGACATGAGCGATAGATGGACCCTCTCGAGGCACTCGATTTGCCCCAGCATAAGCTTCAAAATCAGAGCTTCAACACGATTGTCTAAGCACTCGGAGAGCACTCAACCGCATCCCCCGAGGAAGATTATTATGGAAAAGAAGAAGGAAGGAGCAGGGCGGCGAAGGCCTAAGAAAGGAAGCTTAGAGATAGTCAAACAGTTTGCGGATCATATTTCCCAGATTAAGAGTTACGCAAAAGATTAGAAAACAATGCAACAAAGAAAGTATCTATTCAATGGTATCCACTTTCCGATGGGGTTTCGTATCAGTAGTGCGGGAATTTCCCTTGCAATTACCGTGGAAAGCATTGAGTTGCCCCATTTATTTATACCACAACAACCATCCGATCAATAATGTTTCAGAGCAGAGTTTGCTTTTGTTTCATTCACGCTGGAAAGCATTCCTTGGCAGCTCGAAGATTCTCGGAAATGGAAGTTTTCCTTTGGAGAGCGTAAATGAGTTTTTTGGCTGATTGTAAGACTTGTATCTGCCGTGGTTTTGTTTTCAATTGGCAATGCCAATTGTATCTGCAATTTCTGTTTGAGTTTTCCAGTTTTGTTTGAGTCCAGGTCCCGGTCCCAGGATAGAGTCTCTTGGGGTTGCTCGCAGTGGCTGAGAAAGGTGGCTACAAGTTTTAATAAGTTGGTCATTAGCAGAGAAAATGAGACCGGCGAGGCGGCAGCTAGACAAAATAATTTACACGCCAACATCCGTTGCAATTAAACGGCGAAGAAGGGAAAAACTTTAACTTAAATTTCAGGCCATGGCAGGCAGAAGAGGCAGCGCCTTTGGCGTTGTGTCTTTGGTGTGTCTTAGCCAGGACCATGCCTTGGCCAAGTTTATGGCTTGCTCTGTAAATGGAGATGTCAACGGATGCTCGGGCTCAAGGCTCAGGACACAACGAAACGAAACGTAAGGAAAGTTTTCTTTGGCCCCAACTTGTGCCGCGAGTGCCTCGTATTTTCTAAATTTAATGAGTTGTATTACGACCAACTTAAAGAGAGGCCTCTCACTCTGTCTCAGCCACAGCTTGGTGTAAACTTATACATGGCAAAGTTTGTGGGTTCCGTTCCTGCTTGCTGCCTCCTGCCTCCTGCCACCTCGCCTTGTGGCATCTCCAGTAATGCACAAATTAAAGTTCTTTGCCAAACTACAGGCGGCAGAGGCTAAAAACTTTCCTCCTTGCTGCCAGTTGACATGCTGAGGCGCACAAGGATATGCGTGGCTACAAATTCGATATGTTAGACAAGTCCTGGGGGCAGCACAGCAACTGCCTGCACCCCGGGCGATAAGTGCAGCAAAACTTTTGCGGAAGGAAATAGAGAAGGAAATATTGACATAACAAGCAGAGAATTACGGAGTTAGAGTGAGGCTGTTCCCCGGATGTAAATGATATTATTTATTAGAGGAAAGCCAGAGGAATTAGTCAGGGAAGTGACGGATTAAGGTGTTCAGCGGTAAGCCAGTCAGAAAAGGAAGGGTCTGTAACGGCTTTCAGATGCTTTCTCCAGGAAATATCAGACTAGGTTGGCCAAGCAATTCCATTTCTATGCATTTAGTTGTAAGGTTTGTACCTCGCCCAAAACATTTGCTGACTCGCAGCAGAGCTTGGCGCGTGGCTCCCTGTGAGTCGTAAAAGATTAAGCACATTTATGTGACAAGTGCAACATCAGCAGAGTGACAACGACAACGACACA